TCATCGATAATCTGGGGACGAAACTTGCAGGGAATGAGTAACCCGAATCGAACTATACTGCAAGGAATCGACCAAATTCATGTAAATGTTCAAAAGGCGGGATATCTGCACCAGAACGTCGTGGACACTGCCTTGGGTGAATGATTGTGGTCACCTGTATTTAAGAAGCCCGCGCAAACGACTCAACAGGAACATCTTGGAGACATGTTCGTGTGCTCCCTTCAGACGAACTGGCCTGCTGGCACAGCTCAGCTCGAGGCACGCGAATAGTAAGGACATACCAGCCGCTCAAGCATTGAACATGGTGTTCAACGCAAAAAGCGCATCATATGTTGAGCCACCAAAGCTCTGTGTGTCATTCGGTGGGCGGGCAAATGCCACTTCTTCGCACCATGTGGGATGGATGAAGCCTTATGACTGCTGGCCGATAAACCACCAATCCCGACTGGTGCGAAATGAGCCGACAAAATCCTGGTGTGCAAAACTGGAATATATCTGAATCCATCGCTTTGAAGAGACGCCTTTGTTTTGAACGTTTTGGGTCACATTAGGATGCTTCGTGTAAAAAACGCTTCGAATTCGTTGTGTCTATCCTATTCCACTCCCATGCATATCTAGCTTCAATGTTGGCCTATTTTTGACCCACAGCCGTGGGTTTTGCTCCAATCGCTGAAGGAGGTTCCCACTGCGGCATTTCTGTGCCTGAATCTAGGAGCCGTCGACTGCCACCGCGGTAGGCCTGGGCATGTGGCATGTGGAGCCGTGTTCTTTTTTGAGAAGCTACTCACTTTGGGATTCCCTTAGTTTGGCATATTTTCATATATTTTCATATATATATATATATATCCAATTATATAAATACATGTGTATATATATATATATATCATATATTCACATATTATATGTATATGTGGCCTTCAGGAGTGAGGCGAAGTAGTAACCCTGGTTACACATCAACTTGGGGCACTGATGAAAGGGTAAACCGAGGGTGCAGTAGCCGACCGCCTCCTTGCGATAAGTGGATGCAGCTCTTCCTGCACAACGGAGAAGTGAGCGAGCAAACAAGCAAGCATTGAAACAAACGGGCAAACAACCAAACAGGCAAACAGGCACCCAACCAGCCAACCAAATAGCCAGCCAACCAAACAACACGCAGCAGGCCAACCAAACAAACACCCCAACAAACTAACAGGCCAACATACCAACCAACCAAACAACCAGCAAACTAACAGACAAACACACCAACAGGCCAATTGAGCAACCAGCCAACCAACCAACCAACCAACGAATCAACCAACCAAAGAACCACAGAACCAACCAAGCCAGCGAGCAAGCACCTAACCTCACTTGACTTTGGGCAATCAGCACAACGCTTGCATCCCACAGATCGATCCTGTCGACTGGTTTCGCGAGCAATTAGATCTAGGGGCACCCAAACTGAGCCTTGCTAGCAAGAGACATGCCCCATTAATACATTCAGCAACAAACACGATGTGGTGTGTTGCCGCTCGGTTCTACGCCAGGTTGCTTGCTTTCTTTCTACACTCTGGCTGGCTACATCCCTCAAGCGCAGACCACCGCTCAGTTTTAGCTTGCTAGGTTATGTACAAATCGAGCTTGACAATCGCACAAGCAAGTAGCACATGCATCAAATCCTGTGGCGCCACGGCAAGAAAGCAACCTGCCGCATGGCTTTTTGGCGATCGGTCGCAACTTCTGAGATCGCCAACTAGCCATTGAATCAAACGTAGCGACTCCTGTGAACTGGCTCGACCGACAAATAATCTACTGACGCCCACCCCCTGCGAGAGAAAAAACAAAAACGCGTGCCTCCGTTGCTGGTATTGGTTCTCAATGCACCCAGGGGAGTCCCTGAACGAGGGGTATGTCTTCCATACTGAGCCCCCGGCTTGCATCAGGCAGGCAGCAACCTGAAAGCTGAACCGTGCCAGAACAGGTTGGCTTCCTCTTGCCCACCGCTCTATGGTCCAAAAGGGGAACTACTGACTTTGATGACCCTTAGAAATGGACAAAACAATGATCATGTGTTGAACTGCGCACTGCATGTAACCATGTATACATATATATAAACATCAATTGACGCCAAATAGTAGTATACAAAGCAGCGATTCAACCTTCTTCAATACCCCTGGTGGTAGCAAACTGCGAATCTGTCGTGTCATGCTGGCCAACTTGCCAAAAAAAACGAAAACAATCAGAACTTCAACCTGGCTAACGCATTTCACACCAAGCCAACTTGCAGTTCAAACATCCAGCACGAGGTTTCCCTGGGGGGCGGGGATTCTCATTATTTCCAGGGTGTCCCAGAATACACACACACACACCACCAAATTTGCGGTCTCACTTTGGTTTGCCTTTGGTTTCCTGCTGGTTTGCCTTTGTCATCCATCCACAGAACGAACAAATCCTATCAATTTGTGGGGTGTTCCCTAATTTGATGTGAGGGCTTTTTCACAAGGAAGAAATCCTGGGACACCATTGTATGCTGGTATTTACAGAGGAGTCGCCTTTGGTGGTGCGAAATGGGTTTCGCGACCATCCACGGTTTGGCTTCCTGTTGCTCTCTGCACTTCTGTTTACCACTGAAATGGTCCAGACCCAAAAAGCGTCTAAAATTCCAGCAACTCAGGAAGTGAGGTCAAGCCCACCTGACTATGGGTCAAAATCAAACCACCAGGAATTGGACCGCAGGTGGTCCATGTTTCCACTAGGGTCCCAGTTGGGGTCCCTATTTTTGACCCACAGCCCTAAGCATTGAACGCAAAAAGGGACCCAGGGGTCCCCGGCGCTGAGTCGGATGGAGTCCCCGGACTCGGCCAGGTTCCCGAACCTCGGTCTCGTCGGTCTGGGAACTTCGCGCGAAAACGGCGGGGCCCGTCGGATTTGTCGATCCAACTTGCGCTTGAAGTCTTGCGTGGGAAAAGATGAGAACATATGTCCAGTAGACTCCCTTTCAAAGAAAAAGATAAGAACTAGTCTGAAAGGGGTGCGCTTTTTGTAGGCTTCCCATGTTCGGCTCTGCTATTGAAGGAAATCGAAGGGGAAACCACTTTTTTTGGTTCGGGGAGGCTCGTCCATGTTTAATACTGATTTGGGAATGAGCTTTACTTGGGGACCCTTAGGACGCCCGCTGGTAGGGTCCGTGCGGTGGGTGCCATGTGAGGTTCTAAGAAAACCGGGACACATCGACCAAAGCAACCTTTTCCTTACCCACTTGCAATACCTAACATCTTACTAACCGCCGGAAAAGTGCCGTGTGGCAAGCCATTGGGCCTTGTGAAGCACGACCCAAACTTGGCCCAAGCAATGGCATGGTGTTTCCTGAACATACGGCAAATGCCAACAAACTTACTTAGGTAGCTTGTCGGAGAGGATGGTAGACTTCGAAGCTGGAGAGTCGCGCACTTGCACGCGAGACATGGAACTCATGGTTTTTGAACTTTTGGGAGCTGCAATTGTTTTGTCTGACCCGTCAGCCGGAGACAGTCTTGCGCCTCATGCCCCAAGCTGGGCTGCCCTCAGATCCCCCGCTAAAAGTTTCACTTTTGGTAGGTTAAATGGAAACTACCACTAAACAGTAAAAGGATCTGAAAAGCTAAGGAACCGGATGGCTGGGAGCCAAGAAACCTGGTTCTCCTGCGAAGGGGCCTCTACCTCGACCTCATGGAAGCTCAACCTGCTCGATAGCCTGTGCCCGCATGGCGTCGATGCCCGACATATTTACGTGAGCGTGCCCGCCGACAAGCGCACTGCCAGGTGGGAGCTGAGCAGGCGACAGATTTAATGCAGGACACGATGGATCGAATCAATGTGGACAAATTGCTGCACTGCCCAAGCTGGAAAATACGGGACTGCCCAGTACAGGACCTTCGTTGTGCCTCAGCTTGTTGGCAAGCTCGCCAAAAATTGCCCAGATCCATGGCCCACGGTAGCCAAACCACAGAAAAGAAGGAAGACTAGATGCCATGGCCATGATCAGCCATGGCTTAAAAGGTCTGTCGGGCGGGGGAACACAAGGGTAGCACGAGACCAACCCCTGTGGAGACAGAGCCAAATACTACTGTGGATGGACGAAATCCATTTCGCACCACTTTGAAACCATGGTTGAAACCATAACGTGTGTTGGTATTTACGTTGGGGAATCATTCATGCCAGGGTTTCGTATGGCATGCATGGATTTCGCGTCACCATCCACAGTACCAATGTCACCTGGAACCCAATACTAGCAATATCACACGGAACCCAACTGGCTGTGGGTCAAAAATAGGTACCCAGAATGGAACCCTGGTAAATGGAAACATGGACCAAAACCTGCGGTTTTTTCTGGTGGTTCAATTTTGACCCATACCCACCTCAGCCTGGCGCACGCTTTCGATTTCTGGCGATTCCGACTTCGAGTTCAGTTCCAACGCTTGGATGCGGACGACTCCAAGTCAACGGCCCCGTTTTCCGTGGAAATCATTGGATGTAACCTTGGTTGCGTTCTGCTCCCCTGCTAAGCGTTTAACTTTTGTGGTTTAATGGACAACTATTAGTTGGCAAAAAGATGAAGTCCTACCATCCAAGCAAAATGCAACAAAGTAACTAATCCGTGTCTCACTAGATGGGGCCTGAAAGTAATGGACTTCCTCCACTTGAATGAATTTGGTCGCGCCTCCTGGCATGCTGAGCATTGCCTGTACTTGAGCTCAGGCTTGTGAAACAGACCGGGCCAGGCAAAAAAGGCGATTTCAAGCGCTTGCGGCTTGCTTGCGGCGTCTCATTTCTGTGAAGCGCCGCCGGAAAAGGTGTGTTGGGGAAGGCATTGCAGAACAATGACAATTTGAGTACCTGGCCAAACGTGTGATGGTCAGGGGAAATGGAGGAAACGGAAAACTAACAAGACAAGAAGTGAAACAGGCAAGCTGAAGCTGGCGCTTACGCGTTGGAGGACTCAAAGCCGAGTTCTACTGCCTTCTGTGAAACGACGCGCTAGGCAATCAGGAGAAGCGCCGCAGCCATCCGTACTCGTGCATGCACAAACCGGCCCATGCCTGAGCTGTCAGAAAGGCCAGACAACTGGGTATGGAAGTTTATACACGAGGGCTTTGGAAGACACCTGTCCTTCTGAAAAAGCCCCTTGTCCACTTCTGTGATTGTTGGAAAGAGGGTGTGTGTGTGTGTGTGTGTGTGCCAGGAGCATGTCAACAATAAGGGAACCAACCCCTTGAAACCGACCACGTTGACATATGTTTCTGGATTGGACACATTTTGACATGTTGCAACAAAAAAACAACTTCAGACTGATTCATGGGACCCCACATCCCGCCCCAATCAAACCCATTCGAGATCATGGGATCCAACCCCCAGTTGTTTCCCCAACATACGGCTGTGGCAAGGCCAAAACTAAGGCCTTCTATGGAGGAAACCGGGGAAAAGGGTCAGGGAAGGTTGGATTTGGGTCGTGGATGTACCACTTGGGATACATGAAGCACAATGAATACTGGGATAACCCACCTAATTACAAACTGGTGCAGGATTTGGTCCGTCCACGGTTTCAATCTTCAGACGGGGGTTGGAGGTCCATAGCCTTAAACTGTAAATCCACGTCCAAGGATATTTCAGGCCCGGATAGGAACAAACGACTTCTAAGACTCCTTCCCAGATTGAGGGATGAGCACCGCACCCCTTGTTTCAAGCAACTTCTTAGGTCATGTTGACCTGCGCAGGGACCAAAAACACCGCTCCTGACGACCTGCGGGAAAGGTTGAAAGAACATTGGCAGGGCATCTCACGGTCTCACCTTTGTGGAGCGCGGTAGGGATACATATAACATTGGCAGGGCATCTCACGGTCTCACCTTTGTGGAGCGCGGTAGGGATACAGGTCCAAAATCGCCTCTCCGGAATGTGGCCTGGGCAAACGACTCACGTTTCGGACCGAAGGACACCCCAGCTTCCACATGCCCGTGAAGAATCCAAAAAGGGTGGCCTTAGCATTTGGACATGCATTCAAGACAAGCTGAAAAAGGGTGCCCTCCAAAACAAGCACCAACACCCAGAAACAAACAAACCCCCAAACCCCCTTCCAGTAGCATGTGTAGCACCTAAAGAGAACCACTCGAAGATGTATGGTCTAAGGAGTAAGGCGCATTGACCCATCCAGACCCCAAACCCCGAAAATAAATTCCCCAACACACAAACGCACACACAAACACACACACACACACACACACACACACCACACACACACACGTTCAGCTCCGGCTTGCTCTCAAGGCACCACCGTTACGCCGATGGAGACCACATATGCCAGCCACCTGCGCGAACTGAGATCATGGAAGTGGCACGCAGGCGCATCGCCTGCGTCTCTCAAAACGTGTCGGAGAAGAACAGGACGCAACTGATTGCAACAACCCCGTCCTTAATAGAATAATCTACAGATTGGGACAGATCGGAACGGTGGCCATTTGGCCATGAGTCAAAATCCAATCGTACCCAAGGTGAACATCCCAATCACGACTAAACTAGGTTCTAAATGGGTGGTGCACCTACAAATCGGTACCATTGGTTTTGACCCACAGCTTCATCTACCAACCTTTTCAGCCGCAGTTCCGAGTGCCAGGACGGAACTTGACACCGGTGAATCACACAGGTTGATGGTTGCGTTGGCAAGGGCAAGGCTTCTCATCAGACCCAGGCCTTGGCACTCATTTTAGCAGGTTTAGGAATGAAATGGAATGAAGCTGAGGATTTTGCAGGAAGCCACCAGTTGGATATTTGCCCTGGATTGGTGTGACCGCTTAAGCGCAATTATGGGCGGGCTTAAGTGTTAATTTGGAAGTGGGTGGGTGTTGGGACTTGCTTTGGTGTGGTGTAAGCTTGTATTTAATGGCTGGTTGTATTTGGTGGTGCTAGCGTGCGGTTTGCTGGGGTTGTTTGGTGCTTGTTGTGCTCTGTTCGACAAAAACCAGATGACGCTGGCTTGCACACAGCCAGCTTGCGGGACAAGTCAACCTGTATTGCGACCAATTACAACTTTGCCGACCTCCTCAGCTACCAGGCAGCCAAGCTGGCCAGAATTCGCCACGACTTCTTTATCTGTCAAGCTTAGGGCTACCCTGGCAATGGTTGGTCCCCCATGTCCGGCTTTATCCCACCAAAGGCGCAACAATATGCGTCAAACAGAGGCAGAATGAATCAAACAAACTACACCTCCCAGCCTCGACGGACGCACCGTGGGCATAGAGATCTGTGGGCCTGGGAATCTGGCGATGCCCTTTGTCCGTGGGGAATTTGCAACCTCCGTTGGGGTACTATAAAGGCCTAAATACAATGGGGTTGTGGGGTACGAAAGAACCAGATTGCCACATGTCCATAGGAGAACAATGCTTGTAATTATGAAGCCCCTTTCAATATTGTAGTTGAGGCTCAGGTGCTGAAATTGCAAACTAGGCTCTAGGTATCCATCAATGCCAACTCGGAATCAGCAAACAAACGCGTTGCCGGTTAATGGGGTCCATACACTGCAAGGCAGAATTATGGTAAAGCACAAGACGTGCGGGACCCGGTTTTCTTGAAACGCGTTGCCGGTTAATGGGGTCCATAAACTGCAAGGCAGAATTATGGTAAAGCACAAGACGTGCGGGACCCGGTTTTCTTGAAACGCGTTGCCGGTTAATGGGGTCCATAAACTGCAAGGCAGAATTATGGTAAAGCACAAGACGTGCGGGACCCGGTTTTCTTGAAACGCGTTGCCGGTTAATGGGGTCCATAAACTGCAAGGCAGAATTATGGTAAAGCACAAGACGTGCGGGACCCGGTTTTCTTGAAACGCGTTGCCGGTTAATGGGGTCCATAAACTGCAAGGCAGAATTATGGTAAAGCACAAGACGTGCGGGACCCGGTTTTCTTGAAACGCGTTGCCGGTTAATGGGGTCCATAAACTGCAAGGCAGAATTATGGTAAAGCACAAGACGTGCGGGACCCGGTTTTCTTGAAACGCGTTGCCGGTTAATGGGGTCCATAAACTGCAAGGCAGAATTATGGTAAAGCACAAGACGTGCGGGACCCGGTTTTCTTGAAATGCGTTGCCGGTTAATGGGGTCCATAAACTGCAAGGCAGAATTATGGTAAAGCACAAGACGTGCGGGACCCGGTTTTCTTGAAATGCGTTGCCGGTTAATGGGGTCCATAAACTGCAAGGCAGAATTATGGTCCGGGACCCGGTTTTCTTGAAAACTGCAAGGCAGAATTATGGTAAAGCACAAGACGTGCGGGACCCGGTTTTCTTGAAACGCCGTTAATGTCCATAAACTGCAAGGGTTAATGGGGTCCATAAACTGCAAGGCAGAATTATGGTAAAGCAACAAGCACGTGCGGGACCCGGTTTTCTTGAAATGCGTTGCCGGTTAATGGGGTCCATAAACTGCAAGGCAGAATTATGGTAAAGCACAAGACGTGCGGGACCCGGTTTTCTTGAAACGCGTTGCCGGTTAATGGGGTCCATAAACTGCAAGGCAGAATTATGGTAAAGCACAAGACGTGCGGGACCCGGTTTTCTTGAAATGCGTTGCCGGTTAATGGGGTCCATAAACTGCAAGGCAGAATTATGGTAAAGCACAAGACGTGCGGGACCCGGTTTTCTTGAAATGCGTTGCCGGTTAATGGGGTCCATAAACTGCAAGGCAGAATTATGGTAAAGCACAAGACGTGCGGGACCCGGTTTTCTTGAAATGCGTTGCCGGTTAATGGGGTCCATAAACTGCAAGGCAGAATTATGGTAAAGCACAAGACGTGCGGGACCCGGTTTTCTTGAAATGCGTCGCCGGTTAATGGGGTCCATAAACTGCAAAGCAAAATTATGGTCAAACACAAGTTGGGTTGACAAAGGCCACCACAGCACCACAACTCTGCATGTACCCTTCGATCTAACGTGCAACCCGCAGCACATGGCCTCTCACAATGGGGGAGGCAACCCCAATATCGGTTGATTTCTGTTGGCTTCCCTTCGAAACCACCCCAAAAATTGTTCCCATACCTCAGCAAGCTAGGGGTCACCCCAAAACTCGCTGGTTTCCCTTTGGCTTCCCTTTGAAACCACCCACAAAAGCTGTGCTTTTCCGCATTTCAGGAGGGTCCACATCCCGCTATGCGCCCGGCCAGCCGCTGCCGCGGCTGGCGGCGCTTCGGGCGCCTGGCACAGACGTGGCGAGGGCTCCCCCAGATAAAAGAAGGGCGCCCCGCGCCGCCGAAGCATCGCAGCTTCCCATCGCAGCTTCCGGGGGGAAAAAAAACAACAACGCAAAACTGTGTGAACGAACCCGCTTCCAACAAGAAACAAATAAGGAAACTCTACATTGTAGACTCTGCATTTCTGGATCAGCATGCGCTCGTTTGAGGGCAAGTGCAAGCCTGACGCCGACCCCGCATTCATCTGCTTTATGGATCGATCATGATTGACCGGGTGTTTTCCCGACAAAAGTGAAGCATCTCCTCTAAAATGGGACGCCCCCTATAGACCATCGGGGGCTTGTGGCTCTTCCTGTGTTCCCATGCCCCCCCGCCAGCCTTCTGTTTCTCGATCGCCGCCTCTGTGGTGGTTAGCGTCGGCGCAGCCGTCGGCGCCGGCGTCGGCGCCGGCGTCGGCGCAGGCGTCGACGTGGACTCTATGTGACCTGATGCTATGAAGTCAAAATCACATACAGGCAAACAATCTAAGTTATACAGGCAAAACTCAGTGTCAAAATAAATCTGAAACTGACACTGACAATGTGAGAAAAGAATGAGAGCGCAATGCGCAGGATCCAAAGCAATCCCACAAACAAACATCAACGCATCCAAACGACTCAGGCTAGCAAAGGACACTCAAAGGGTGCCCTTAACGCCTTCAATTGGTGAAGCGTTAGTTGAACGGAATACTTTTGACACGCGCCTGTCCAATCCGGGTTTGGCCAAACCATTCACATGCTTGCGCCAGCGGTCTGTTTGGGCAAGCCCAGCCTCTCGAGTGGGTTCCCCTGCGGGCCTATGTGCCTTGGCTTAAAAGGGAAACCCAAACAAAAAACCAGCATCTTGGGGGTCCCCCTGTTTCACACATGGCTGTGGCGTTTGGAGGAAGTGAACTGTTGGAGTGGTTTTTATAGGAAGCCAAAAGGATAGTTTGCATTTTTGTGGGCCTCCCCATTTTATTTAAGACGCCCTACCCGAACGGAGGCCGTTGGGCCACCGGGCATTTGTCAGGGCACACCAGGCGAACGAAGCTGCCCTTTGGCAGCAGCGCCTCCTCAGTGGACAGGTCGTGCGCCTGGGCGAGGCGGAACGCCAGTCCGGTTCAGCCCCATGGGCCGCTGCCGATTGGCGACTTAGGCGACGGTGTTGGCCCCATTTTGGCCCCATAGCGTGGGCAACCATTGGGATGACGCTGAAACAACTGCAACACGGTTACGATCATACCTGTCAGCCTACCGCACGCTGACACGTCTAAACCCCCGTGCCGACCAAGCTAAAAGCCTTTTTTCACAATATTAGTTCCCGGTTAGTCCCGAATCTTGACAGTCATCATTTCAGAAAAGAGCTATATATGCTGAGCCGCAAATTATTTGGTGGTTTTACGCCTTCCATGCGGAGTCAAAGGGCGTTGAATTGGAACCTCCGAGTCAAGTGGCCTGAGGGGTCGGAAAAAGAACGGCAAGCTTGCCGTCCGCGATGGGAACAATCCACAAGCCAATGGTGCAGGGAAAAAACATCAAAACAACCGATGCTTTCATGCCAGCGGAAAACAAACAAGCAGCAACAACGGAAGAATGAGAAAAACATGTTGGGCTAACTGCAGCTCCCCCACTTCAAAGATGCACGTTTGCGAGGACCAGTTCAGCGTGGGCCTTGGCCCTCAACACCTGATGGGTAGTTCGCTTTGTCCGAGCGCATGGATCAGTCACTTCTGGGACATGTGAAAATCTACTTTTGGGCCTGTTTGGGATCACTGAAGGGAGCCAGGCCCAATTTTGGGGGTTCCAGCACTTGGGGAAGAAACACTTTAAGAAATGGTGGGTTTCCTTTGAGTCTCCCAGGTGCTGGGCAACCCGCCATTGTCCTTTCAGTTCTTGGGCGGTTTCCGTTGCTGCCTTTATGCTACTTGGATGTCCAACTTAGTAAGTAGGTCGCAACCATGGTTGTAACTTAGGTAACTCGGGGTGGTCCCCTTACAACCATGGTTATGAGTTATAAGTTATAACCTACTCCACTGACGTTGGTTGACCATCCAAGCAAACGGAATCAAACCTTTCAAGCGGATTGCCAGAGCTGCCAGGTCGACCTGCTCCTTTGAGGGATCGCTTTGACCTTCCGATGCCCCGCTTGTACTTTGTGTGGGTCCATTTGGTGTCATGTGGCAGAAAAAGTGTGGCAACGCCAAAGGATAGATCGCCAAAGCACACAACCGCCGTCCAAATTCAGCAGGGACGAGCACATCTTCCGATACCGATCCTGGGTGCTTGGAGCAACGGGTGACGCGTTGGCCCGAAAAGCTGAGGACGCATTTCCGAGAGAAGACCCTCCTACACCTTGACGCGGAACAAATAAAACCAACATTTTGAGAGGAGTCGTCTTAGGGGGCTCATTCAGGGTTCCATATCAGTTGTAGCGGGAAATATCCACTAGCAAAGTCAGGAACCACCTGGCACCCAATTTCATGCATCCATGCCAAAGCTTCTGGAACCTTCCATGTGAACTTGTGTAATGAGGAACTGCTAGCCCTCTGCAATACTCACAGGAGTTTCCTTTTATCACACGCATGAGCAGACATGACCGTTCCCCGAAACCAACGAGACTGCAAACGCCTGGCCAAGGACAAGCCCCGCAACACAGGGTTTCCTATTTCCTCTTTAAACATCACACCACCTAGAAAATGCTCCCAAAACTTCAGGTCAACATTGTAACATGCCGACGGGCAATTGTTAAAACCACCAAAACGGGACATCGATGTGTTTTTTTCAACTGCATGGGATATCACATGCTTGGGGTCCCCCATGCTGCAGGCCAACACCGCGGGCAGCAATCAGAGCAACTTGATTGATTGCCGGTGGCCACATTTTGTGGCCTTTTGTAGGTGTGTCTTAACATGGGGAACACCCAAATGGGTATGGGTCAACATTAGACCAGCAGGAAACCGCAGATGTTGGTCCATGTGTCCACCTACCAGGGCTCCATTCTGGATACCGATTTTTGATCCACAGCCAAATGGGTGAACAACTGGCAACTGCACTTATGGATGTGGGGATCTGCAGGCTGGGAACCAAAGGCAACAAAGCTTTTAAGGACGCCGAGGGGCCATGATCTTGCACTCCTCCGGGCACACCCTGCGCACCAGCGTGTGCGGCTGCAAGCTGGCGTCATCGGAGGACAAGTCGTAGTCCTCAGGCCGATACCGCGCTCGCTCGATGCCGGGTCGGGAGAGGATCTGCTCAGAAGCCGTGGGGTGGGAATTCGTCGGTTTGCAGCCCCCCACCTAAAATGAACAGAACCAAAAACAACAAACAAGCATGTCAAGAACACTCAAGCTCCGGGAATTCCTGCAGGAACCTAACGCAAAGGCTGGTCAACTCTATTTGGTGACTTAGTACTTGTAGAATTTCCGGGGTCTGGCTTTGATTGTTTGAACCAGGGTCTAACAAACGGGTGACTCGGGTCGACCTTTCACACACCATTCCGACCCGGGTCGCCCATATCAAACTCACCGAAAGGAGGAAGCTACGAACAAATGCAGGCTAGACCCTTGTCCCTTGCAAAGGGGAACCACAAAATTTCAATCATTTGCGTTGTCCCCACCTTGCTGGTGGCTCTGGTCCTTCACATGCCCCCCAGTATTCACAAGGCCTTGGCCTTGCACAGACCCCATGCTACTATGCGATAAGCTTTTAGTACGTCCTGTACCCCACTCAACTCTTAAGGTCGAAAAGCAAAAGTCAGCTTCGTTCCCCAAGCTCTCCAGGCCCGGCAGTTTTCTCAAACGCAGGCCTTTCGAAGGCCCGTTTGGGCGAGCATATGGGGGGGAAGGTTGGGATCCTTCAGGTGCTGCGGTGCTGCTTGGAAACCTTTTGAAGCATTCGTGGAATCCGTTTCCAACGCGGCACGAGTCTGAAACCATGAGTGAAAGGAGTGCGGCTAGCCGAAGCTGCATCCATGTCATGCCTACGTATCCCACATCTGAGCTGCCGACGCACGCGCCCTGCAGCTTCAAGAGGGTTGGGCACGACTGCCTGTAAGTGTCCTGGGCGTAATCAAAACTGCTCCAAGAAACAGGCACATGTCACATGTTCCCGCTGACTCGCCTTTGAATGACCTGTTCAACAATCAGAAAACGAAAGCTCAAAGTCCTGTTGAAATCACTTTCATGGAGGGTAAAATGAAAAGGCACATGTTCTCCTAAGCCTATGCGCTCAAGCAACATCTGAAGCTACATTGGACAAATGAAGCATGAACCAGGGGAGCCTATCCTCTTCAAACAACAAAAGCAAGCTCAATATTTCCTGGTAGCTTGCATCAAGGTCTTGCACCGGCCGGGTGCCAGGCCTTTCGGGAAGCGTTCGAAGGCGCGGGGCCGGCGAAAAGTGGAAACGCACACATTTCTCGGACAAGAGACAACGAGTGAAAGGTGCTAGCAACTGGCCTTCAAGCACCTGCAACTTCTTACAACCATGTTAAAGTTAAATAAGTAGGATCCCTGGCTAAAGGACCCACATTCTTGCTGGCTTTCGTTATCACCAAATCGGTGAGCTCGAAGCCCATAAAATAGGCAGAAGAACTTCAAGGGTTTCGGGCCAGAGCTAAATCCATGGCAACATGTTTATAACTTTTGGCTGGAAAGGCACATGGAGCACCAATGACCAGCACCAAATGACCCCCAAAAAAAGTTTAACAAGTTGCGAGAATTGCTGCCCCCTGCACAAAACGGCACAACAGCAAGCAAACAAAAATCCGCCTTTGGCGTCTTTTTTTTGGCCGAGGGTCTAAAGCTGGGCTGGACTCCTGGCTGACCTCGCTGATATTGACAGATGAGTTGCCCACCTCAGCTGCGACTTAGGCCGTCTTCTTGTAGGGTACCCCGAATTTTTTGGTGGTTGGAATGGGAAGCCAGCGGGAAAACAACATTTTTTTGGGATTCCCCTAAACACACACACCCATTTGGTGGCCAAATGGGTCTGGACAAAACTTCATCCTCGTTGGGTATATGCGGATGGCGAATGCCTTGTGGGATGCATTCCCTTGCATCTAGGATGATTCCACAGAGAGCGGCAACGGACTGCGTCCAGATTTTAAACAGGTCCCCGGTTTCTGGTGGTTTTAGTGGGACAGCGGCAAAGGACTGCGTCTTGATAGTCCTCCAACAAGATATGTGTCAAATAGGACATGGCGACTTCCCTTCAAACCAAGGTGAAAAGGCACCCTCCGAAATTACTCACATGAATCTTGCCAACTCCAAGCACAGCATCCTCCTAATTCCCCCCGCCCCCCCCCCCCCCAGGCATGAAAGGGAGAACCATGTTGCTCTCTGCGTCCTGGTGGAATTAGTGTCCCATAACAACACTATATATATATGTATATGTATATATATATATATATGTATATATATATATTTACATCTCTATATATAGGTATATAAGTGTATACATCTATCTATTCTTTTAACACCCTGAAGCACCAAGCCCTGAACGCACGGTACCTGTTTTGGGTTGTTACGCGAAACAAGTCGTAAAACTGTAGCTTCTTGGGGTTCCCCATTTTGACGCATACCCGTAAACAAACAAAGAAGAAAAAACGAGAAACCAAATTGCAAACATCCCGCACGGATGGCAACCCAAACGTGGGGTCTAGCACCCCGGAAGTCCAGTTACGTCGACACCCAGGGAAAACGAAACTGCTAAGTCTGCTGGGTATTCCAGGGGTCAAATGTCCTTTGCTTTGCAGCGAGCGCTCTGGAGCCTTTGTTGCTGCTACACGCACGCTTGCGAACACTGCTGGCAAACACATCAAAACAAGCATGTCACCTGCTCCTGCAAGCACCAGGGGAAGGACCTAAGGAAGTCAAAACCCGAATCAGCACTCTAACCTAACAACTGCTCACATAAACCTGTTTCTAGGCAAGGTCTGGAACGAAGGTCTGGACCAATGATCTCCAGCTCGAGCGTGGGTTGAGCCAAGGCGCCCCAACCGCCTCCGGCACCGCCGGCACCGCCGGCACCGCCTCCGCCTCCGCCTCCGCCTCCGGCTCCGCCGCCGGCTCCGTCTCCGCCAGAGCCGCGGCGGTGGTCTCGGCCGCCGTGGCGTTCGTGGCGTTGGCGATGGCCACCGCGGCGCCTCACGTCTGGTGGGTTTTTCTGGGGGGAGGGGGGGCCACGGACACCCAGCTTAGACTAGGTCCTCCAGCAGAGAGGTTAGAATCAGGGCTCTTTCTTGCCAAGAACCCCGAAAAACCGAGACCCTGAAAGAAGGTTGCAAATTAGACCCGTGCCCAGCATACAGTGGGGGCAGGGGGGGGGGAAGGCCAATGGAAGTGTAGGATTTAGGCTGATAGGTTCGGTACATGCATTGGTCCGGATAAAGAGTAGCAGTTTCAGGATTGGCATTCAGGCCCCCCTGTTTGCAGGGACCTTTCTTCCAGACAGCCACAAACCAGGGAAAAGACTGGGGTTTTGAAAGAACGCTTTCTGAAAGTTACAAGTTTAGTTAACTCCTAGGTTAATCAAACTTGGTGTTTGCTTGGGCAAGTTTTAAGGCAAACCGAAGAACCACCTACCATTCTAGGGGGTTGTCTCAGCGAAACTGGGGGGGGCACAAACGTGCTGAGTGGCTTTGGTGGCTCATATGTGTGCCCTATGGGCGCAACTTCCACCCCGTTGTGGCTGCCGACTTAGCCGTTGGAAGCCGCAAGTCAAAAGGACTAAATGTTGGTTCCGAGTCATTTTGATGACAACCAATTGGTAACTGTGTCACGGATACGCGTGCGAATCTAAAGAAAGACGGACAAGCTATCCAGAAAATACAACAGCCATTCTTCGAACGAAAATACGAGAGCTCAATCAAAGTACCCTTCAACCCTATTGAGATCGCTAGAATTTGCCTAATTATAATCCCATGTTTGTTGCACCCCTGGTCCTATTCTTAAGGGGGGGGAGGGTCCCATTTTAGTGGCGGTGGACACCCCTTATATATCAGAAGGACGGGTTCACTAATGTGGGGTCAACACAATTCTTCCAAACTTCTCGCCTCCATCCACGGACATGGCGGTCTTTGCATCGCCTCCCGAGCTTCCGTCTCCGCCTCCGCCACCACCGGAGATGCTGAGGACTAGGACCAGGCCGAGGACCTTTGTGACTGACTTGCTGGTGCGATAGGAAGGGAATGAGGGAATGAACCTGGGGGTCCCCTTAAAGGAAACCACCGCTTGGATGGTTTATAGGGGTCATTCCCTCTCTTTCTGCTGAGCACCAGCAAGTTTAAGACCATCCAAACGAATAACGCGGGTCATTGTTGAGAAACCCCAGATAGCTGAAAAGCAAAAATGAAAGGCTTTGTGAAAGCCGCTCTTTTCGGGAGTTGTTGATTTTTGCAAAAAACAAAAAGATTTGGAGGAAAACCAAATAAGACAGACGTGTGTCCTCTGTTGGTGCTATGTCCGTGGTTGACTTAGAAGGGAACCAAGACTTGGTCAATGCTAAACGCTGGCTTTAAGCATTTCTACCATCATCTTAGTAAAGGACAAAGATATACAATGGCAGTACCTTGACCCAAAGGAAGTCAGCATATGCTGGTGTGTCTCCAAATGAGGAATGAGGGAGGCCCCTAACAACTGGTGGGCTTCCCTTTCGGTTCCCTTTAACAGCACCCCAAAAAGGGACCCTCACAAAAACGACACAGCGGAAATGGTCAGGTAAGTCTTGCCGTGAGACGAGCACCACGGCAACAAGGAGCGGCAGGCGTTGGTGCCAGACTGAGCCCATCTGCACTGTGCGCCTGAAAAAGCGGGGGGGGGGGGGGGGCGTGCAGGGCGGGGGGGGGGGGGGGGGGGGAAGGAAGGAACTGCTTCTCTTGTCTTTTTGATTTTGCTGTTGTTGTTGTTGTTTTTTTTGGGGGGGAAGGGTTCCTCAAGGGATCAGCAATTTTCACAGCAAATTCAAAACCTGAAGTAACAGATCGACCTACAGTAGGACCTACAGCATGGTTACCCCCGGGTGAGCTCGCTATAATATGCAGATATGATATATTTGAGCCAAATTTAAGACTACACGGACGAGGCGTACATCTAAAATTGTCAAAAAACAAACATTCTTTACAAGGATGTGCATCCTCTAAATCGGCTGGGAAAAGTCAAGTGTCTTCCATGTGGCAAAGGCGGGTCGCCTTGGGGTCATGGGAAACAGGTGTCTGTGACGTGGTCGGCCCAAATTGGTCGGCTTGGGTGCAGGGGAAACAGATTTCGCCGTGATGGGGCACTTAACAACAAACGATAGACCCGAAATGGTCTGGCGTTCGTTTTTGGCGGCCTTCCAAGGGTGCAAAAAGGACCCGCAAAAAAACATGGGGGGAATTAGCAATGCGAGCCGAAAATAAACCGCAGTGAGCCCCAGCCACTCCAAGAGACGAAAGCGGACCACCCTCTAAACCAACCCTGAACCAGCCTTACGCAGTACCGCAGCAGTTGAAGAGGCACTAAGTTGTACATCCGGGGTCCTCATGCTGAATATGTGTGGGTGTCTTTTCTTGGGGGCACACGTGCTTTGGTGGTTTTGAAGGAAAACCCAAAGGAGAAGGATAGTGAGAAAAATGGCTCCTGTTTGAATTTGCAGTCAAGTGGGAATGAGTTTTAATGAGAACCCACCACATAAGAGGTTGGTGGACATGAATCCCCGTCAACCCAAATAATCCTCAATAAACTCATACCCCGTGTTTTTTTTTTTTTTTTTAAAGGGTTTTCGGGGTCCCAGTGACGTCATGGCTACCGCTGTGCGCTTCCAGGGCCCACAAAGTTGTGATTTTCCCTTGGGTTTCCTTCATTACCACGCAAAGGGTACCCGAACCAGTACTCAGCCAGGGGGGTCCTAAGTCTGGGTTTCACCCCCATGCTGATTTGCCCGGGAATGGATTCTGCGCTCGTATGGCAAAGACCGTGACTTCTCATCCAATCACCCCGGCTACTGTGCGCAGTCGAAACTCCGCACAAGTCTATGGCCTATGGCCTTTGGAATCCCCATTGTAACATCTGTGAGTGAAGTGCAACACCACGGCCCATGGCAAAGGGAAAGTTCACTGGAGTCAATGGATGCGCTTTGGGCCATCTGAAAACTGGAAGCTCAGCCTGCAAAAGGTGGAGGTATTCAAGCACCGTGCTGTCCAAACGTGGGCCCTGTGAGACACATAGGCCTTCCTTGGGGCTCAATCCTCGAAAGTTCCCACGCTAGATGTTGCCCAGCGGCCCCTCCACATACATCGGGGCAAGTTCTTCGTTCTCCTTCATCTTGCCCTCCTCCATCCTTAGCCGACGTCTCAATGCGTGCTTGAGTTTCTGATTCTTTGAAGCTCTGGATTCAGGAGCTTGAAAGCTTAGGACCAGGTCTATCCAAATTTATCTCTTCTTTACAGTAGGATCCAAGCGCGCTTCCTGGAATCAAGAAACCAAAGATCTGTTCGTTTCGTTCTGAGGCGGCTCAAGCCATTTCAATCAATCCAGCCGCGCAACACCTAATCCATACTGAACGATGACCTCGTCGGATTCTTTGCGCTCAGTCGGGTTCCACCTCAAAACTACTTGATCGAAAGCACAGCGTCTTCACTAGACCTTCCAACAAAAGGCTAACATGTTGGGCCAAAAACTCAGACTCGGGCCGACACAAGAAGCCAACATAGGAAACCACAGGAAAGCAAAGAAACTTCTTCCTGACGCAGCTACCTTGTAGCTCTTGACTCTTTCTGAGCCGAAGAAAAAGGGAATGGCTGTAGAACCCACACACACACACACTGGGCCCTCAAATCCCCCGCTCAAGTGAGCGAACTTTGGGTGACATGGAAACAACCACGAGACGAAAGGACCTAAAACATCCTAAAACGCTAAGGAACCGGATGGCTGGGAGCCGAGACAAATGGCCCATGGGCATCGGAACTTTGGAGCCGAGGAGCGGCGCTGGGTCGTTCCAGCTGGGCTTGGTGGGGACTGCGCCGCCCAGCGCGCCCAGCTGGCTGTGGATCATGTTGTCCACCTCTGGTCCATGGGCCAGTTTTTTCTTTGCTTGGTCCTTTTGAAAAATGCGGGACAAGTTTATTGAATAGCCAAACAAAGGCTGTGCTTTGGCCGTGGTTGTGGAAACTATGACATCAGGGCTCACAGATTTCTAGGGGACACTTTCCCATTCTTTCCAGGGATCCGAATCTTTTCAGAAAACCGGCAGAATCCAAGGGGCACTGCTGGTTTTTGAAAAGAACGATGGTTGAAAAGAATGGGGAATCAACCCTAGAGTGATATTCTGGCGGGCACCGTGGCTGGTTGGTTTTGAAGGGAAGCCAAAAGGGAAAATCACAATTTTCGGTGTACCCCTATTTGGGATGCCCAACAGCGCAACAGAAAATACCTGCAGCCCCCATGAGTCTCCAATGGCCAAGCTACGGGTACCCTTTTTCTGCAAGTGGACCCGCCACCTTCCGCCTGTTCACCAACAACCAGTTGGCATATCCGTACCTGCTGGGGTAATCCCTGTGCTTGTCTTTGAGGCTCCGAGTCTCTAACCCTTGCCTCAGCTACCTTCTGAGCAGTCCCCTTGGCCATTCTGTAAATGCTCGGATGCCAACTCCAGGTTACAAGGAACAAATTGCTAGGTCCTCCAGAGGAGAGGTTCGGATAAGGGCACCAACTTTTTCTGTAGTCTATTTGAGTACAGTAGGGGAACCCTCCCCAAAAAAAGGGGAGAGAAGAGCGCTACTGGGGGACCTAGATTGGGGAACCCTGCAATTGACCGTGGATGGCTACTTTGCTTGCAAAAGTCCGGACATCAAGCGTCACTTCCGAAATCGGAAACATGATTCAAGCCAAACTCTTAGGCTCAGCTTGCGTGCCCCGGTGACCCTCAACGTTTAAAGGCTCTTGCTCTGCGGGTATCAAGATTCTAACGATCCATGCAACGAAATGTGCGAACAAGTTGCTCTTCAAGCATAATTTGCTTGTGACGGGGACCAGACGTGTGTTTGCGCCCGAATGCCAAGAGTCTTTGCGGGATGGCCTGTGGCCGAAAAATCTTCGGCTAACCCCAGTCTAAGATAGCTGCTCCAAAGATCATGTCACCGGGTAATTACCTCTGACCTGGGAAAAGGAACCAAACAAAAAGTGCCTCTGATTTTTGTCGGGCATCTCCCAGCTTGCCCCAGGAAAGAATAAGGGGATCCAACAATCAGCTTCTACCCTTGCGGTTTGGTCGTTCGGAGCGTTGCAACCAAGCTGCCATGGCTGCCCCGCGGAAAGAAAGGCACTAAGCTGTCCTGGTAAAATAGCGGGCAGATCCCGGAGAAAAAAATCGGGTCTCTGGAAAGAAACATCTGCTGCAAAGTGAGGGGCAGAAGTGCCACAACTGTGTTGCCACAAATGCGTGCTTGAGCCGCTCGTGGCCAGCTGAAATCGGACCCGAACAAAGAAACATGTGAGAAGTTTGGTTCGTCGCATGCTTGCGCCGGACATGACCAGGTGGGTACAACTGTTAGTTACACTCTCTGCAGTCTGCCTGGCGGCAGTCCGTGCTGCCTCGCCTACGTAACTGCCGTATCCCTGCTCAAACATTCATCGCTCTGTGAAGTGGATGCACATGGACAAATCATCACGCATCTTGACGCTCCTGAAGGGGAATAAGGAAAGCGGGACAGCCCATAGAGCTCAATCCTGATGCCCAGATTCGTCCCAGCACGCTTCAAATAAGCGACCAGGCTCGGCTGGTGGACCATGCGCAAATGACTTGAAGGGCCACGCATTTCAGTTGCGAAAGGAGGTTCCGATGCTTTTCTGGGGCTCCATCTAATCAGGGGAGCAAGCTACCCTGCGTTTTCTAGCAGGCGGCACGTGCTTGAGGAGCCCCAAAAGGAGGGTCTGAACTCTTGCCCGGCTTTTCTGCGCTGGGACCGCGCACAACTTGCGCCGGTCGAGTGACAGACAACCTATCGGTTCCGCTCAGCGAGTCGCGACCCAGCTGCCAAACGGTCATTCGCTGTGCAGGGCGCTTCAACCACTTGGTTGGAAAAGACACGCACGCACACGCGCGCACTCACACATGCATCGAACTACATATGTATACATGTATGTGCTGCTGTTGATTGGCATCAAACAAAACTGTGTTTATTGGTGGACATTGGCGGTATCTAGTCATCCATATGCGTACTAATGCGTATGCGTATATATGCGTACATGTATGCTTGAAAAAGCTGTAGACTGAGTTAGGTCCAACCAGAAAGCATCAGAAGAAAGCCGAGGATGGCAGAGTCATCTTCAAGCCAAAGAGCCCAATCAGCCGATTGATCAAACGGCGCGCAAAACAAGATCCAAACAGCAACACACAAAACAAACAAACAAACAAACAAACAAAAATCAACTGAGTTTGACTGTGGAAAAGCTCCACCCTGGTGTGGATTGCTGTTCAATCCCATCCTCAATGTAAAAAGCAACTTCCTTCATTCTGAGCGGACTAAGTTCACCAAGGGCGCCTTCTATTGCCCGTGACCGATTGGCACGGCGCCACCCACTGACAAACCATCAAAAGCGATGGATCCAATTCCATGGACCCAAATGGAACTGGAAGGTTGGAACAAGGGTGCGCGCAACGCCTTGCAGCTTGCACCGATGCATCCTGCCTCCATTGAAACGTGAGACCTGGAGAGGGTCTACAGCTTGGCATCAGGGCCCTGCGCAATCCGCTGGATGATGCTGTTCAGGGTCCTGAGTGCTGCAAACGCGTTTCAACCCCTTGCGTCTTACAGTTGGGTGAAAGCAAAAACACGATTCCAGCATATTGTTTTCCTGCCCCCTACTAACCGGAACCCTGGTGCAATGTGACACCCCGCGCGTGGAACACACCCCCTGGAGTCCCCCCCCCCAAAAAAAAAACATCGAATGGGAGTCTGGCGCTTCTTGGGCTCCATGCGAATTTTCAGCATCTCGAGGGTCATGCTTAGCATGGTTCTTTGCTCCATTTCCATGCGGACGCCCCCCCTCATACAGTAGCAACTCGGCGCTGAAATCTTGCTGGTTCTGTTTGGATCACCAGGGGTGGGAGAAAACCGCCATAAACGACGCCCCTTGGCGTAGTTTATGTTTTGAAGGGTACCTACCCCCCCCCCCCGCCCCCAACAAGCATGAAAAATCAGAAAGCTGGCGAACCACCCGAGGTCTTTTCGCCAAACAAAGTGAAGCAGTGCGGTGAAAATCTCCACCCCCCCCCCGCCCCCAAACAAGCAGGAAAAATCGAAAGCGAGCAAACGACCAGAGGTCTGAGTCAACAAAGCGAAGCAGTGCAGTGAATCAAAATTTCCATCCCGGGCTCTGGGAGGGGTTCATCGCCCTGTCTGCCTTCGCCTTGTCTACCCGGTAGTAGCCCCCGATGTCCACTGCCGATCCCTGGCACTCGATGAGGTCTTTGAGGATGGTCTCCTCGCCCGACTTCGCACAGATGTGACTTGGGCCACAAAAATACGAACCGCCCAAAAAGGGGTACCCAAAAACATCCAAAAGCACACTCACACCCACAATGCCATATCAAGCGAGGTACCAGGTTCCATATCATTAGATTCATTTTGGTACGCTCAAACGCAATAATATCGTGATATACAACGGTATTTAGGCCCCCCATACGAAATCAAACAACTCACCCATCGTTCACAACAGAAGCTCCGAGGCTTTTGCACAGCTCATAGACCCCTGATAAGGCCGCACAAAATGGTCATTTCACCTGCCGAATCAACTAAGAGTAACCTAAGATGTTGGGGAGCTGCCTGCTTCCATGAACTGACCTGAAAGGGCCTGGCCGAACATGACCCCCCTACACCCAAGCAAGCATGGCCCCTACACCTGGCGAGCAACTCGAACGTTGATGGAAAGCCGCGAGACCGCTACAATATAAGGGCGAAATCAGTACCCTCACCCCTTATTCTAATGATTTGTCTTCTACTATTTGCCCAAATGGCATAGGACAAGGAAATCACCAATGGCTCAAAACCAGTGGCTGTGTCTCAAAACCAGTGGCTCCCACCACCATTCCTTTTGACTGGCTGGATGGATGGGATGGGGTGGGACGGGGTGGGATGGGGTGGGATGGGATGGGATGGATAGATGGCCTGCTGCGGCAAACGCAAGGCGTCCCGTCCCTCCGCCTGGGCAACAAAGAACAAACGATGAATCCGGCTTCCAAGGAAGTTTAAAAGATGGCAGCCAAACGCCAATGTTTTGGAGCTGAAGAGGGGTCGGACCCCTTTAAGCTCAGCTCCAAAGAAAACGTTTGGCATAGGGCACTGACAAGGAACGGACAAATGAAAGCCCAACAGTTGCAAAGGGTCCGCTTTCAATAACTGAAGAAAAGAACCCCCCCCCGGAAGCACAGATGGAGAGGGACCGCTGCAGAGCTCCTAAGCCGCCCCTCCCCATCCGGGACATAGTTAGCAAAGCCACAAATAGAAAACTGAATCTAACTTTGGATAGGTCCTGCGTCGCTTTTCTGGGCTACTAATCCACATGTGCATAACTCGGTTGCTTTCTGCTCCCCTGCTAAAAGTTTAACTTTTAGTGGTTCAATGGGAAAACCCATGAGTTGGCAAACAGTTAAAGTCCTAACGTCCAAGCAAAATACAACAAAAATAAAGCACACTCGCCGTTGGGGTCCCGCGAGCTTTGACACCCATCCTCGGACTTCAGAAGCTCCCGGGAGATCTCAGCAAAGGTTTGCTGCAAGGCGGGCGCCTCCAGTCAGATGTCGGTAGACGTGTCTTGAAGGGGTCAACGGGTGCTTTCTTGGGACCTACACAGCTGACCGCAATAGCGGAGGCTCTGAAAGGAAAACACAAGGACCTGCAAATGAAACAGCGGTCACCTTCTTCTGGGCGCCCCAAGTTCCCGTAACAGTTGTTCATTTGAAGGTCGTTGGCCCTTTTGTAGACGTACTGGGACACCAGTGGGCTTTTGTATTCTTTTGGTCACGCAAAGGCCAGCGCCAGGTTTTTTCGTGGTTGACCAGCTTTAGAAAGGGAAGCCCAACAAGCTAAAAGCGATAAGGTTGCCACCAAACTCTGGGTTGAAGTCAACATGAAAGGATGCTTGCGAAACGCATGCGTGTATTCCAGAAGACCAGTGGTTCAACTTCCTTTGTTTCTCTTGCAATGGCCAGCTGTCTGGTTGTTAACGCGGCTTTAGTTCAAACATCAACGGTTAAAGGATTTCCTGTGACTCCATGCTTCGGTGGATTGGCCCAAACACAGTGCGAATGTGAACTAAATGTTTCCCCACCTGAGCTTGTTCCAAGAACAAGAATGACAACAAGAATAAAATTCGTGATCATGGCCATGTAGAAAGTGAACATTAAGCATCTATAGCTAGGTAATTCATGTCCTTGGAAAAACACACACCGAAACTGACCAACAAATGCCGCCTACGGCAAGCACCTCAGGCCCTCTAGGACAGCGCTCGCCTTGTCCTGCTTGGCAAGCTCCTCTGCCCAGTACCGAGCGATCCAGTAGTGGCTGCCCCGGTTGTCCATCTCCTTGACTTTCCCTTAGCTTGGCCACCCTGGGCAGACCAAGTAATCCCCTACAGCCAGGGGATCCTCTATATCAGCTGAACCCAGTTGCGCAGTAACCCTGGTTGTTGCAGGCGTGAACCCACTCGGGGAGGGGTCATTGAACAACCATGGTACACTTCACTAAAACGCTGCAGGTCATACCAGGAAAGGCCGGGCCAACATACACCAACGAGAAGCTAAATAGTTCTGTCCCACACATCCAAACCACACTTTTTAAGGGAAACCCGACCTGACATAGCATCACATGGTATCTTATCCCAGAAGGGAACGGATACCTTGTGGTAGTGGAGGATCGTATATGTGGTCCCTGGATCTATTCCGCAGGAAATCCAATCTGTCAATATGGCGTACAAGAGAATGGATAGTCCCTGATAGCTCTGATTACTGTGTTTCACTGTAAGCGGCCTGCAATAAGTCCCTTTATGTAGCTATCGCATGAATGGTGCAATCTGTACAAGAAAGAGCCTTGAGCCAGACGGTTGCATGGAGATCAAAGTATAAATCAAACACAGGGGGGGGGGTTAGATTGAAGCGGGCCAGGCAGACAGGACAACTTGGCAGTCACAGACTGGTCCACGCAGACAAAACTACTTGGCAGATAGGGCACGCAAGTCAGAGATATTTATTATTTGCAAATTATTTTCCAGATTGACTAAGAGTGATTTGCGAAGAGCTGACAGCACAAGACACGCAGACCAGACAACACGACTTGTCAAACAGGGCATGCAAGTCAGAGATCTGTGCACCCACACCCAACCCACCCAACCCACTTGCCAAACCCACGCAACCCACACCCAGCCCACCCAACCAACCCGCCCGCCGAGCGGCGGGAGGGGTTCTTGTTGGCGCTGAGGAAAGTACCCACTGCCTTGTCCAGCGCGGAGCCCAAAGCCGCGGCCACTGAGTTTCCTGACCCACCATGAAAACCCAAAGAGAACGGGCCCCCCTGGAATGGAGGTGCGCGTGTGTGGTTGCCGATCAGAAACTCACAAAAGGCCGAGTGTATTGGCCCAAAAAAAGGGCAAGCCATTTCCACCACTGATTTCACAAGCAAGTCCTGAAACTCAAGGAGCACCCGAGTCTTTAACGGGACCCCTAAAAGACACGGACAAGCAAGCAAGCAAGCAAGCAAGCAAGCAAGCAAGCAAGCAAGCAAGCAAGCAAGCAAGCAAGCAAGCAAGCAAGCAAGCAAGCACCCAAGCAAGCAAGCAAACAAGCACGGAAGCAAACACACAAGCAAACAAGCAAAGCAACGCAAAGCAAAGCAAAGCAATCAAAACAAGCAACACAAGAAACCAAAAACAAACAAACAACCAAACAAAACAAGTAAACAAACAAAAGTGACAAACACGCACACGCAAACTGGAAAGACCCAGTCATATTCGCGACGTGTTTGGGGTGTGGGGGCATGGGAAAAGTTTGAGAAACTCCTTTGGCAAATGTCCAACAAGGAATCCCCTCACTCAATTGCTAAGTGGATTGGCGAAAAGAAAGGGGCTCTTGCTTTGCCACCAACATGATTTGCCATCAAAATGTAGAAAATATTGACACTCAGGGAGCGAGCTGTTTCAAAGAAAACCGCAAACACATCACCTGCCCGAAGCTGAGGGATTGAGTAATTTCCATTTGCTTATACATCTCTTGGAAGGAATTGACATACTTCCAGCTAGTGACACTTACAAAACGTCCGACCTGAACCTATTGCAAATCCTTCTTCAGCACATAAGTGCGTGCCTGCTTTTGTGTGACTTGTTATTGGGACACCGAGGTGAAACCTGCGCATTTAGGGGCTGCCCGATTTTAAGGCACGCCCAAATTCCAGGGGTGGTTGTACATACCCCTTCTACCCCAAAAGGGGCATATACCCATATAAAGTGGGTTGGAACCCAGGAAAGCTAAGGAACCGGTATGAACAAGGGGTATGTACTTCCACCTCTAGACAAATAGAACAAAACCACCACCCGCCGTCTCGCCGTCCGCGCCTTGCTCCCTGGCGAGGTCCTGGATCGACTCGCTGAGCGCCAGGTACTCCCCCAAGGAGTCCCAGCGCAGGTGACCCTCCTCGCGCAACACGTGGATGGCACCCTTTGAAGGGAACCCTTTTAGGTGTTTTTTTGAGGAAGAACAACTGTAACGTTGTGTGGGATTCCCTTTTAAGAAAACCATGTTAAGGGAGAGAATTGATTAATCATTGGGGAATTGGAGCCCAATTTTGGAAACCCAGCCAAAAGGGCACTGAGAGGTCCCGCCCGGGACTTTAGCGAGACTCGAGTCGAACAAGAATTAGTGCCGTTTCGCTTTGGGCTCGATCCCATTTTGTCTGAACCTACCAAACCAAGATCCGCTGAACAGCTGGGCTCCATTTTTGGGTTCACCATTTTTGGTGCACTGAACAACTGGGTGGACGGGTCCGAAATCGAAACAGTGTGACCAAAAAGTGCGCCAGGCTTCCCTGAGCAGCGAAACCAATGGGCTGTGGCCCAGTTCTGGCAAGCAGGGAAGCGGACGTGTTGGACCTTTTCAAGAGGATAGTCTTCCAAAACTGGGCAGGGTCCACTTCCATGCGTGTTGGAGAATGGGTAAATTTTCTGACGACGCGCTTTCCGGTGCAAGTTGACAGGCAAATCGGAGCATTTTTCAGTTTGTGGACACCCCCAAACGCAAGTCCACAAACTTGGGAAGTGGCACCCATATGTTACCCTTTGGACCTACCCCACTCGGAGGCAACCCTTTTCGCCCATGGCTCCCGATTGCTTTTTGTGTCAACATTACCCCAGAGGAAACTCACCTTAAATTGGCGCAAATGGCGGTGTTTCAAACCATGAAGGGCAGTAGCGGAGCATGTGTCAACATAGGGGGGCCCTACAAACGGGGCCATCTTTCCCTCTCGTTTTCCCTTGAAACTAGCTGGTTTCAGGGCACCCTTCCTTGGTGAACATAGGGGCCCTACATCTGTTCCTCTCGTTTTCCCTTAAAACCAAGCTGGTACCCTCCAAAAACACACATGCAGAGTGGATGGCCCCAAAACAAGTCCAAACTTTATATTTACCGCTCAAATTGTCCAAGCCCAAAAAGTTTAAAGTTCATGAACTCAGGAAGTGAGAAAACACACGCCCAGCATGTGTCAACAAAGGGCCCTGCAAACGGGGCCATCTTACCCTCTCGCTTTCCCTTGAAACCAAGCTGGTACCCTCCAAAAACACACACCCGAAGGCCCTCATCTTTTTCTCTTGAAACCAAGCTGGTTTCAGGGCACCCTGACCCGAAAACCCTTGGAAAAAACCCTTCCTTGGTGAACTGCTGCACGTGCTTGGGCGCGGAGCCCCCGGCCCCCGTCTCGTACATGCCGCCCCCCGCCAGCATGGGCACGATGGACAGCATCTTGGCCTCCCGGGCTCGGAGTTCGGAACACATGGGCCATGCGTCCGAGTGCCCTCAAAGGACCAAGGGACTCCTAAGATGCGCTTGGCAACATTCTTATTAAAACCCAACAATACACCACCTCGGAGCAAACTATGTGGAATACCACTTGTGGCCTCGCCTGGCTCGGAACCCCTTTGGCAAACCAACCTTCTGTTGACAGGGGGAGGGTGTAACCGATAGCTGGATCCGGATCATGTTCCGGCGCCTCTGCGTCAACATTGGGGGCGTGTTTGTTAGGTACATCCCTTCTACCTCAAGAGGGAAGTGGCATAAAGTGTTCCTTAATTCCATTTGTCTAGTCTTTCCCATACAAGGAAAAAAATGGAACCCCAAATGGACCCTCCCCCAATTCCATTTTTCAGCGGGTGGGGATGAAGGTGCGCAGCTCCCGGCTAATTGCTGGTCTGGTTTGGCCGGGGGTGGCCTTTGCGTCAACAACCAGGGTTCAAACTCCCAGTCCCCACCAATCCAAAATCCTATTTGGGTGGCTTCAAAGGGAAACCAAAAGCAACTGCCTCATTTGCAGGGCCCTGTTTGGACCCCCTCGACCTGTTGTTTCGACTCTCTATACCTCTTGGTTGTCGCGTAAAATGAACCGAGGACGGGGGTCGGAAAAAAAAAAGAGAAAGAGAGGGATGTCTTAAAATAGGGGGGTCCCCGCAAAAGTGGTTGCCGTTTAGTTTGCCAATAGCAGTGTGGCCAACAAGGGTATGTTCAATCAGAACACGCCCAAAGGCCAAAGGGCCACAGGGTGCCGTGCCAAGGCCCAAGGCAATGCATGTGTCTTTGTTACAGCTATCTGTTTGGGGGCTGCTTCACGCGGCCAAGACCGCTCAATTTTTTGGGGGGGGGTCAAACATATTCTGAGACAAACCCCTGTAGCTTCTCAGCATGGCGGACATCTTTGTGGCTCTGTTGCATCGAGTTCCTTGCGCCATTACGCGTACCTTACGCAGCCCGCTTGGAGAACCACGTGCCATTGGGAAGGCGGCCTACTCGACATCATTTCCTTGCTCACGTGTACTCGTCGGCAGCTCCAGCTCGGAAATGGTAACAGCAACTTTTTCGTGCAAACGCAGTGCACGAAGAACACAAGTGACCCAAAACCCTACTATGGCCTGCCACTCGGAAACAAGCCAAGGCCTCACGCTCCCCTTACGCGCGCGCCTTACTCTTGCCTTACGCATTTCTGCGGAGTTTGTTATTTCTGTGGACTACAGTGTATGACCACCAGAGGCTACCAAGAGCTAAGGGAATCTTCGCCACAGCCTGCTGCAAAGGAAATCTTCCGTTCTCGACTCTGTTGGACAACTGGCGGTCTCGATAAGCAAGTGTAATCAAAGCACATGGGCATGAACAAATATTAAATATAATTAACACACGATTACTCACAATGCTTACGCATCATGCTCCCTCAACATTTGCTTACGCCGCGCCTTGCGCGTGTAGAGCATTTGCTTACGAAACAGGTCGACATGACTGAACATGTACACCGAGGTTGTAGACGTTGCTTGCAAGGAAAACCACAACTTTATAGGGTACCGCCCAGTTGGGCTTGGCTTTTGGGGTGCCGTTTGTTGGGCAGATTTAAAGGCACACTGAATTTAAGGCAGACCTGGTTTGAGAAAAAAAAACGGGTACCTGTTGGTTTTTGTTGCCTTTTGTGTGGCCAAAATGAAACCTCTGATTTAGGAGGCACGTAAGAAAGCAATCACATTTCACGCCAAAGAGCGCTGGTCCCCAGCTCCAGGATGGGGAAGAGGTCCGTCAAGTAGTCCCGCAGCCTCTCCCAAGGAGGCGGGCTGAGAGGCAGGGAACAAGGGGGGGTTTTGAAATGAACATCTTGATGGGGTTCCCTGAAAATGAACCATCTAGGTTTCAAAAAATGACGCGCAACATAATCTAGAAATCAACATATTCAAAATGAGCATGAGGGCGTTGCCCTTAACCATTTAGATCGTGCAATCCTTTAAGGAGGGCAGTTTCAGGGGTTCTAGAAATCATTTTTGGGTGGGCACTAAGGCGTTGCATGTGCAGAACTTCAAAAGAACGGATCCTCTCTTAACCACCATTTAGAGAGAAATTCTACTGAAGCCACTTCAAATCCAGTGAGTTCCCTTTGAGCGGCGCAATGTTCAACACACAACCATGGGAAGAACATTCTTCAATGTTGCCATGATGTAGGTGTCACGTTCTACGGGGAACACTGGAAAGGAATCGCGCACGTTGGTGTTCTACTTAGACGGTTGGGTCAGCCCTGTTAATCCAAGAGGAATTCCACAACCCAAGCCACCGGGACCAGGGGGGAAGTGATACAAATAACAATTCACTTCACAACTTGATCAAACGTGCTTTGCGTCAGTTTTCCCCTGCAGAGCTTGCCAAGCTAAGGTGGGGCTCAAGACATGTCAGGCAAAGCTCTCTGGCCATGGAAGGCCAGGTTGAAGACGCTCGGAGGAATGCGAACGTGGGGCCATAACCGATAAGCAACATGCCGTGGATTCCGCCCGTAGGAGTGGGAGGGATACTGATGTGTTTGCTTCGATGTGGCTTTTTGAAGGGATGCCACATGGGAGACACCCATGTCTAGTGTTCGGGCTCAATTGTGGTTGCTTAAGCAATGTCTGCCCAATCCTGTATTTATCTCACTTCCTGAGTTGACTGGCCCAACAAAAAGCCCAGACTTGTCCTTGGCCACTAAAACGGGCTTCCCAAATTGCATGAGTCCAGGAACAGAGGAAGTGAGGACCTCTTGACAAAGCTGAAACTCTTTGGTTGACTTGACCCTCCCCCAACCTCTTTGGAAGACTTGGTTTTACAGAGGCCTTCTGGGAGCTTCCGTTTTAGTCTAAACAACAACAGCTTCACTCGGTTGCTTTCTGCTCCCCTGCTAAAAGTTTAACCTTTAGTGGTGTAATGGAAAACCCATTAGTATACAAAAAGTTGCAGTCCTAACATCCAAGCAACATGCAACAAAAGCTTCAGGCGAAACGACAGCTGAGTGGCTTCTTCTCTTCCATTTGGTTAAGACCCCTGGGGAAAAAAAAAACGTAGTGATAGATTCCTTTTAAAACACCAACAAGGAATAAACAAAACAAGAACAACAATCAACAACTTAAGCAAATGGAAGTTCTCTTCGCGCGCTGAGCTCCCCGCACGTTGCCCGTCACCGTGATGGTGTTCAGCCCCTCCTTGGCGCGAAGGCAGGTGACCCTCATGGCCTCGGCGGGGGAAAGGATCTCGAGGTCCAGGTTTTTGGTGTCGAAGTCCGGGAGATATTGCAGCACCTGCCGGGCATGTTGTTTTATTCTTCTTATTTGTTCTCTGTTTTTTTTTTTTCTGAGCTGTCCAAGGTCTTGACCTGGTTGCAGCTGGGATCTTTTTTTGTCCTGGTTCATTTTTTGTGTTTGACCTGCGAACAGCCAGGACCTGCCAAAGAAAAAAAAGGCTCACTGGCCACCTGGAAATCAAAAGTGATCACCTTTCGGAACCTAAAAGTGGACCATGGGAAAAACAACAGGTCAGTCAAAAGGAAATAAAGGGTGGCCGGGACCAGGGGGACAAGCAAAGGTCAAGAGGGCGATTTGCTTTGAAGATGTGAGAAAAGCGCATCACAACCAAAAAGCTGGTACCAAGATGGTCTATCCAGAGCCCTGTAAAGCACCTGCGAAAAAGCTATGGGTGTTTCTCAAAATAGTGGGACCCACCCAGAATGGGAAGCTTCCATTCAGCAAAAAAGATCAACTGACAATCAAACCCGATTCAAAACCGATACTCAAATGGTCCAGAACCACATACACAATTAAAAAAAGGCAGCCACGCCTACGGGTGCGACCATCCCTCACCTGCACGCTTGGCCGGGACCCTGTTTCTCAAAGGAATTGGACTCCATTTTACGGCTCAGTTCAACTTGTTCCACGCAACCCTCCAAAGTGGGCCCCCACATTTTTGAGAACAGGTCTCGTATTTTGTGTGCTTGCCTGCCGCCTGTTCTGTAAAGCTGACAGTTCCATGGAGACAATAGTTCTAGGGGTACCTTACCCATTCTTTCCAGGCGTCCTTCTTCCCAAAACACCTCAAAAACCCAGGGGAAACAGCTGGTGACTGAAAAGCACGATGGTTGCAAAGAACGGGGAATCAACCCCTAGAGTAGTGCCAACTTGCGCGGATCCCGCACCTTGCTGATGATGTTGCAGTCATGGGCGCGGGCGGGGTCCAACCAGAAGATGGCCTGCCGCAACCGGTGGCCAGCCTGGGACAAACCTCGGCATTAGGAAAAACAATGCATGCTTCTGGCAGACGAAAAACAAATACGATGTACATGTATTATATATATAATATCAATGTCTTGTAGAAGGGGCAGGCTTGGAAAGCTGGTCTACCAATGCAGCATGACAAACCCCAGCCAAACATAATCAAACATACATAGTTCTGCATGCCTATGCGCTGCTTGGAAGCGTGCAAGGCATAGGCAGACCACTATCCCTGCGCCCAAGTACCCCCCCCACCTCACCTCCCCACTCGACCCAGTATACATTACTGTTCTTGTAGCAAAGGATCGCAACGGAACATGCAATTCAAACGTGTGCGGACGCCAGCTCCCTGCAAAACAAACGGGGGTGAGGCCCACGAGGTTATGGAAAGGGTCGAGATTTAATTTGGGATTTTTTTTGTTTTATTTTGGGTTTTTTTTTGTTTTCCGTCCTGGCTACTAAAATGCTGTAATTTACAGCATTTTCTCGCGAAATGTACGTATTTTACGCTAGTCCGTCAACATCATCAGCATCGTTTTCAACATCCCCCGTCCAGCCAACATCCCCAGCATCACCAGCAAATTGGCTTCCCGCATCTCATGGTAAAAGTGAGGATTCAAATACGGGCAAACTAATCCCTGTAAAACACCTAAAACGTGGCGGCAGCCCCCCCCATGATGATTGAAAAAGTCTAAAAAATTGCGCGGGGGTTGGGGGCGGCGGCAGCCCCCCCCATGATGATCGAAAAATTATGGGCAAAGAATCTAAAAAGGATCGGTCGCATGATGATCGAAAAAGTGATGATTCAATTCGGGGCAAAAAGTCCAACAAATAGCGAGGGGGTTGGGGGGGGCGGCAGCCCCCCCATGATGCTTGAAAAAGTGATGATTCAAGTAGGGCAAAGAAAATATATTTAAAAAAAAAGCAGCCGGGGGTCATCAGTTCCTCTGCGGCAAGGCCTCATGGTACAAGTGAGGATTCAAACACGGGCAAACTAATCCCTGTAAAACACCTAGGGGGGCGGCAATCCCCTCCATGATGATTGAAAAAGTGATGATTCAATTAAAGGCGCGGGGGGGTTGGGGGGGGCGGCAGCCCCCCCCATGATGATCGAAAAAGTGATGATTCAATCAGGGGCAAAAAGTCTAAAAAAATTGCGGGGATCGAAAAATTAAGGGCAAAGAATCTAAAAAGGAGCGGTCGCATGATGATCGAAAAAGTGATGATTCAATTAGGGGCAAAAAGTCCAACAAATAGCGGGGGGGTTGGGGGGGGCGGCAGCCCCCCCATGATGATTGAAGAAGTGATGATTCAAAAAGGGCCAACAAAAAAAAAAAAAGCAGCCGGGGGTCATCAGTTCCTCTGCGGCAAGGCCTCATGGTACAAGTGAGGATTCAAACACGGGCAAACTAATCCCTGTAAAACACCTAAAACGTAGCGGGGGGGGGGGGGGGGGGCAATTCCCTCCATGATGATTGAAAAAGTGATGATTCAATTAAAGGCGCGGGGGGGTTGGGGGGGGGGGCGGCAGCCCCCCCCATGATGATCGAAAAAGTGATGATTCAATCAGGGGCAAAAAGTCTAAAAAAATTGCGGGGATCGACAAATTAAGGGCAAAGAATCTAAAAAGGAGCGGTCGCATGATGATCGAAAAAGTGATGATTCAATTAGGGGCAAAAAGTCCAACAAATAGCGGGGGGCGGCAGCCCCCCCATGATGATTGAAGAAGTGATGATTCAAAAAGGGCCAACAAATATTTAAAAAAAGCAGCCGGGGGTCATCAGTTCCTCTGCGGCAAGGCCTCATGGTACAAGTGAGGATTCAAACACGGGCAAACTAATCCCTGTAAAACACTTAAAACGTAGCGGGGGGGGGGGGCGGCAATTCCCTCCATGATGATTGAACAAGTGATGATTCAATTAAAGGCGCGGGGGGGTTGGGGGGGGCAGCCCCCCCCATGATGATCGAAAAAGTGATGATTCAATCAGGGGCAAAAAGTCTAAAAAATTGCGGGGGGGTTGGGGGGGGCGGCAGCCCCCCCCATGATGATCGAAAAATTAGGGGCAAAGAATCTAAAAAGTAGCGGTCGCATGATGATCGAAAAAAGTGATGATTCAATTAGGGGCAAAAAGTCCAAAAAATCGCGGGGGGGTTGGGGGGGGCGGCAGCCCCCCCCATGATGATTGAAAAAGTGATGATTCAATTAGGGCCAAGAAAATATTTATTAAAAAAAGCAGCAGGGGGGTCATCAGTTCCTCTGCGGCAAGGCCTCATGGTACAAGTGAGGATTCAAATACGGGCAAACTAATCCCTGTAAAACGGCAGCCACCCCCCCCCCATGATGATCGAAAAAATAGGGGCAAAGAATCTAAAAAGTAGCTGTCGCATGATGATCGAAAAAGTGATGATTCAATTAGGCGTGCATTTTAATCGAAAGGGGGGTGGCGGGGGGCCCAGAGAGGAACTTGCGATGCTGATGATGCAGGAAGCCAAGGCCAAAAACCAACTGGGAAAGCATCAGGATGCGAAAAGCCAAAGCCAGAAAGCCGCCAAAAGCCAAAAAGCCAAAAAGCCACCTGCCGCAGCGGAACTGTGAATGCAGAGGATGCGAAAAGAGAGGAACTGTGAATGCAGATGATGCGAAATGAAAAGCCACAAAAGCCACAAAAACCCACGTAAAAGCCACAAAAGCCAAAAAGCCGAAAAGCCACCGACCCTGAAAAACAAAAATAATTCCTAAAAAAAAACGGAAAAAAAAAAATCATAAAAAAAATGGCCCTCCTTATGGAAAGCCCTCTCGCTTGGCGCCCTTTGCTTCGTTGGGGCGCAGCACCCTTGCCCAAACAAATCCCAACTATTCCATGGGCCTTCGACAAAAGGGTATTTGAGAGCCCTGGGGTGTCCCTAGGGGTCGGAGCCTCCCTAGGTCGCGTCTGGGTGGCAGACAACATGTAGCCAATGGCCAGGTGTATGCAGGATCCTCCCTTCCACGAAGTATGCTCCGAAGCCTTGCAGGGCCGGTCGTTCTTGGGGAAGTTGTTCTCCCGGCACCGGTGCACCGCCAGCTTCACCCAGTCCTTGATGGGGGCATCCTGGCGAGAAACAGAGTTTCCTGCTTGCTCCCTGACTGGATTGGCTTCAATCAGTCCCAACGGCCAGCCGAAAATGGTCCAGCAAAAATGGCCCAACGATTTCTATGCCACTAAAACGGTCCAGCAGCCGAAACCTCTTGCGCCGAGTCTTGGGCTGCCTCCAACTGACTGAGCCAATAACCTCAAAATGGAAGTTCGACTTTGCATGCCTTTGGTTTTCTATCCCGAAAAGTTCAAATGTTGTTGTTCGGGCCCACAGGGAAACAAGTCTTTGCAGTTCCGATGATTCGTGGGTAGACTCCCCATGTGTCAGACTGCGAGGCGCTGGAACCTCCTGTCTTTGCAGCTTTTGTCAGACCGCTCGCCGCAGCAAGGGAATTTGAGGATACCTTTTAAAGCTGTCTCTCCCAGGAGGCTTTGAAAGGGTTCTCTCCCGGCTCCTACACTGGCCTAGGACCTGAATGCCACAATGCTGAACCTTGTGGTGCCATGAGCATGCCTGCCAAAACTAGGACGCCACACAACAAGAAGACATGGAATTCCTTAGGGAGCAAGGAGAAACCGACAAAAACAAATTGACAAAAGGACACCGCTTCGCCCACAACCCAAAGTGGCAACCTAAATTCATTTTCCCCTAAACCATGGACTTTCTTTGGGGATCTTTAGGTTTTCCCAAAGGGTCTGGGATGGTCTGGGCATAGTAGTATGAGGGGTTGTCCCAAAATAGAGTGCCCTGACAATTCATGTCCCTTCAGTTTCACTTTCATCCACGGGATCCCGCGCCCCTATAGTTCACAAAACGAAAGGACCCTCATGGGAGCTTGTCTTACCAGGTGGGCTCAAACATGTGCCCAGAAGGGTGCCTGAGGCCCTCGCCAAAAAGAAATCTTTGCTCAGAGCATCTGGGCAAAAAAACAATGAAGCAAGGAAGCTGCCTCCGCTTGCTTCAGTCTTCTGGAAAACTTGAACAACATGTGATAGGTTCCCCCATTAAGACCAACAGGAGAAAATAACAACATCTTCTTAAGCAAATGGACGACAGGGCGGGGACGTCCTTGGTCTGACAGGAGCGCCAAATGTCCCCCTTGTGGAGCCGATGCCCCAAGAGCACCGCCCCCGTCTTGATGTCCACAATCCGGATGGTGCCGTCCTGTGCGAGTGGCCCGAGGGCAACATCTGCGTCCCTTGAAGCGGGCCCCTCTCGAAACCACAATCTAGATGGCAGCAGCGAGGATGCCCACCTTGGTGGATCCACTCTTCTGTTCCTGACGCTTCCCTCTTGAGACCACAATCTAGATGGCATTCTTGAGGATACCACCTGAATGATCCATATATATATATATATACATATATTTACACATACACATGTAACATGTATATATATATATAATATGATGTCATTCTCGGCATGCCAAAACCCTTCCAAGAAGTTGCGTTTGTGGATTCCTGGGAAGCGCAGTCATCCCATGTGCCATGGCCGAGCTCCGGTCCTCTTTGGCTTCAAAGGTCGTGGGGTGGGAGCCGTACTCCTCCGCCTGGACAAACAAACACAGGTAGTCAGAAAACCTGGGAGGCATTTCTCAGAAAATGAAATGTATTTCCGATGTTGCACCCTGTCTTTGGGGTGGTGATTTTTCGGGAAGCCAAAAGCAAAACCAACCATTTGTTTCTTGGGGGAGGGATGTGCGGGCACCCGTGGTAACAAGGGGACATCACCAAACCCAACGGCTCGAGTTGCCACAATTTGCTTTGCAGAGCAGGGGACACATCGAGATGAACAACATATGGGTACCTACGGTTCCCTAGCACTAGAGGCAACTGGTTGCGCTGGGAAAGGGACATCAGACCCTTCTCTCCTCATGCGGGCCCGAATGGAGGGAAGTGGCACGACACTAGTGGCAAAACACTCCTCAAAGGCGCGGACAAAAGACACGTTCCTCTCACATGGGAGTCGCGAAGCCCGCATGCTCCAGATTCCCACTCGCGCTTACGAATAAGCGCCCGTCGACAAATCCGTCGACCAAACATGACAATGATCCCTTAGGACGCTCATGTCAACATGGAGTTGAAACGGTGTTGCCAATGGAAAGTAACTTTGGCTGGGCAAAATCGTTTGTGTCTTCCGTGTGGGATACGGTAGCCTAGATTTGGGCCTTCCATCCACGGCAGGGTTAGCATACTAGCTGCTTGGCCTTGCGCTTTTGGCTCAACAGCCACTTGGAAATTTATCCGGCGAGGAAGGTTCCTGGAAAACACATCCTGGACCTTCGTCCTCCCGAAAAACAAACAACGTAGTTTCCGCCTTTGACTGGATATTCGGGAAATCGTAGCACTTTTTGCCGCAAAATCTTGAAACTCCTAAAGCTCCTAAAAAACACACTATTTCACTGCTGGCGGCCTTTGACAGACTAAAGGAAGCTTTGCAGGGGTAAACGACTTAATGCAGCCCGCAAGTTTGTCAAAACATGCAACGGTGGTCCAAAGTTGTGCGGTGCAGAAAAAACGTATGTACCCATGTTGACCACAAAACGCCCGCAACTCCCGCAAATCAGAAAAATCGTAGTTTTGATGACCAAGGCATCCCATGGTGTTCACTGGCACGTTGGCAAGTGCTGCGAGGTGTATTTACTTTGCATGGCCAACGTGACTGGAAACGACGAAATTCGTATGCGGTAAATCGTAGGGGTCTCCTAAAACACCCAGAAATTTCCCGGAGTTTGAAGGTCCAGGATCCAATGAAATGGGGCATCCTCTGAATGGCAAATGTCTGTAGTTGGTGCCCGTTGTGGACGAGGGAGGGTCACGAGGGAGGGTCAATCTAGGCATTCTTCTCAAATGTTCGATGTCCAAGTGGGATTGTTTCAATAGGGGGTGCTTTTTGCAGTGGGGGATGCTGTAGATCCAGCGGGTTTCAATCCGTCAGGTTTGCTAAATCTGCACAAACAACTTTTTGCCGACCCCTACTTTTGTGGGACGTTTGCCGAGCCACCAACGTCCCTTCCAAATTGAACATGGGAAACTACTGGACTGAAGCACCTCTGAAAATCACACAAGCTTGCCCTTCCCCTTGGTGCAGATTTGCCCTGGGCTCCCACGATTCTTGGCCAGATTCGGCACTCCGCAAAGACTATCCGCTTGCTGCTTGCTGAACATGCAGGAACCCAAAAAGGCACTCAATGGCAAAGAGGTGCGAGCTCACTCGGGCCACAAAAAAAAACCGCCCCGCTCCCGGACAAAAAATCCGCTGGCCTTCTGCGCCATGAGCCCTACGTTGGGGCAGGCGCCCATCGTCTTCGGGTCGAAGGCGCCGTGCTGCTTGCAGAACTCCACGCACTCGGAGAAGACTCCGGCGTATGACCGGTCCGGGATGGTGGCCTGAGCGCAGAGGGCCCCAGCTGCTCAGACAGCTGTGAGCAACCACACCCGACCACGGTCAGTCAGCTAGCCAGTCAGTTTGTCAGTTCAGTCAGTCAGTCAGTCAGTCAGGCAGCCAGCCAGTCAGCCAGCCAGCCAGCCAGCGAGCCAGTTAGTGAGTCCGTCGGTTCGTCAGCCATCCAGACAGCCAGCTAGCCAGCCAGCCAGTCAGCCAGTCAATCCGTTAGCAAGCAAGTGTGAAGCCACCAGTGTGACTGCCTGCCAGCCAGGTTCGGGGTGTGCCAAAGCATGCCAAAACAAGGCGCCGAGGCAAGACGAAAGGAGCCTTTTTTGCGGAGTTGACAATTCTAACTAACTGGGTCCCGAGTCCACCAAACAAAGAGCAAACAGGGCGCCACTGAGCGGCTGGGTACGTGCAAACAGGCAATTAGTTGTCCTGTAATTTAGCCCCAAGCTTCGAAAGGACATCAACTCCAACGAACACACGCCGACGTTAGTGTCTTCATTCGGCCATCTTTTGTATGGGTCCCGAACCCACAAGGAACCAGCTGCCACTGATTTAGGGTTCCAGGTCCCCCAAACCCTACACCCTAAACCCTTTCTTAGAAGTCCTCCAGAATCCTCCCTCCCTGAAGGGCTAACCCTAACCCTAAACCCTTAACGGGAACAAAGGGAACGCGAATTCGATTTCAGCTTGGTCTCCTTGAAGTCCTGCTCCGTGTCATCGGCATCCCACATCTTCCCACCAGCGCGGATGGCCGTTGGCATGGAGTTGTCGATGATGATATCGCTGGGCACGTGGAGGTTGGTAATGCCTGGGCCGGGTTCCTCTAGAAAGATCTCAAGCTCCTTGGTCAGGTAAGTCATTGCGCCCTTCTCAGCGCTCAACCCGACCAAATATATATATATATATATGTATTTATATATATATTTATACACCACAATTATGATTTCCTTTTTAGGGGAACCGGGGGTACAAGCAAACAACCTCTTGATTGCTTGCAGAAAAGCAGGGAAGGGGGCCACCAAGGAGGGAGCCTGAAAGGAATCTGAAATTTTGGGAGCCCTTTCTGGGGCTCCAGGTTCATCAGAGCAGGGACAATACCTGAATCAGCAAGCATGTCATTCCAAACGAAGAGGAGTACGCCCGTCATACGCAGATCCAGCTGAACGTAAAGCAAGAGGCAAGCTCACCCCCCCCCCCCCCAGTTGCCCAGTGACCCGGATAGAAAAAGGTGAGCAATTATTGATTGACCACGTTTAGACGGGACCCACCAAGCAAAGCAAACAGTGCCGCTGAACAACGTTTTGCTGGGCCGCCAAGGAAACAACCCTCTAGACAACGCTAATACCACACAACCCAAAGGAACGGAGCAGCTAAAAAAAGCCACAAAAACAAACTTGTTCTTTCAGCATGCACGCTGCCAAACCCACGCGAGATTTCCCGCAACCGCCATCCCTACAACCGTTTGTTCCTGACTGACCCTCTGTCCCCCCCCCCCCCAAGGGCACCACTGTTGAAGGCACCTGAAAAGGGGAGGTTGCCCCTTGAATAGTCTCTTACAAGAAAGCACAGAGAATTGAGCCCCAAACTCATGGACTAACCCTTGCCTTTGCCTGATTCAAACAGAAAGGGTTACCAAAGTGGACCAGCCTTCTTGCTACTTTGTCATTTTAAGAGTGGAAATGTGTCCACCCAAACCATCACGTCCGACCACCTTGGCTCAGTGTGCGGGAGTCACCCCGCGCCAAAAGAAAACCGCGCGGCGCGCCCAAAAAACGCGGGCAGGGCGCCCTTGTGCGAGTCCACCATGGCCATTCGGGGCTGGCGCTCGTATGTGGCCTTCAGATCCGCCTCGATCTGCGCCTTCAGATCCACCCCTCAGATCCCGAAATCCCCAAAACGGGTCTCTCCATCCTTTTTGCTTGGGCCCATGTTAGTAAGACAGTCTCAGCCTTACCTTCTAAATCATGGTTTGAAGCTTGAAGTTCAAGGGAAACGCCCGAAGTTTGAACAGCCCATCGACATCTTCACTTGAAGTAAAAGACCCTCAGTCAGGAAGTCATGCGGCTTGCCCCGCTGGTACTGTGCTGCCTTGTTGCTAGAAGAACGAGGAAACTTGCGAGTTTGCTGTAGCTTCCGATGGTTTGGGGTATGTGGTCGGCTTGCTTGCGACTTGGGATTGGACATCCACTGCAGGCCGTTTTTTATTTGCTCAAGTGGAACCAACTGAAAGTAACGAATTCTTACGTGTTATCGCTTTCGTGGATTTTCATCTTTCTTTTAAGACCCTGGACAATTGTGATAAAATCGTGGCCCACATAGTATTCTTCCTGTGGGCCCGTGGGGCAGAATGGCTCAGCTCCGTTTCCCGTTCTCCAACTCAGAGGGTGCTACCATCATCTTGGCGTGGTTCAGGGGAGTATGCACCTTGAGACCAAGCGACACATATATGGCCATGGGTCATAACCTAATTATGCCTCCATTTTGGGGCGGATGAACACCCATGTACCACCCATTTTGATGTTCACCAGGGGTACGATTTGGGTTTTGACCCACGGCCATAGCCTGTTCTGACCCCTCACAGTTTCCTGGCCGCCTTCTCAGAGTCCGGCAACGCGGCGATCTTCTTGTACAAGTCCCCCAGGCCGTTGTTGGCGTTCACCCCGAGCCTATGGGAAGAGCGCGAGTGCAGCCATTTGCTTAAGTCCCTTGGAAAAAAAACAACAGCAGGACTGATAGGTTCCTTTTTAAAACTAATAGGGGAAACTAGGTCCTGCAGTAGAAAGGTTAGAAGAAGGGGACCCTTTTTCTGTGATCTATTTTAGTAGGGGAACCCTCCCCCAAAAAAAGGTAAAAGAGCACCACTGGGGGACCTAAGGAATTAAAACATATTCTTAAACAAATGAAAGGGAGAACATCCTACAACTAAGGCAGTGAGTGCAGTTTGGGTGTTTTCTCGGGTGAGGGGTTTAGTCATTGGATTCCGTTGGGGTTCACCCCGAACCTTGGAGATTCGAAACTAGCAAGTTCATGGGTGAGTTGTTGGGCAATCTTCGTTCGATGGATTTCGGGCTTGAGATCCGAGCCAACGACATTTTGGACGTACTGTGACTTCCTTACCTGTTGCACGTGAAGCAAACAACGCACAACCACAAAGCTGCGCGGTCCATTGTGGTGAGTTGCAAGCTTGCTTTGCTACTTGCAATGTTCATGCATCCACCACGGCAACCACACATTGATGGCAAAGTCAAACCATTCGAGCTGCGAAACATCTGTCCACTAAGTGTTATCACTACCCAACAAATCCACTACCCCAGAGTAGAATTTGGTGTATAAGCCCTTCTACACTTTTCTCCGTAGGGGGTCAGCGGTTTTGCTGGCCTTGGAAAGTCCAGTAGGCATCTGCCAAGGTGCTTCTCGAATGTGGCCGCATACTTTTCAAAGACATCTTTGAAGTAGGCCTTGACCTCGGGGCTACATCCGCCTCCAAATGCAACAAGATGGGAACCCCCACCTCATTTACCACGTTGTATCCCCCTGGTTCTGGGGCTGACGATTAGTGTACTTGCAAAATTGGATACTTTGAGTCTTTCAAAGGGGTGAAGCTGCCAAGTTCAACTGGAGGGTATTCCTCAGGGTTCCGATGCATGACACACAACAATCCTATCTGGTCATGCGGCCATGGTGCATGTGCCGCGCCACGTTCTTAGTTGCTGCCTTTCTCAGAGCCCAGCACCCGAGTCGCAACTTCGCCAAGAGGAAACCAAGCCAAATCCACAACCCATCCGTTGATGGTCAAATACAACAATAAACGACCCATGGTCAACTCATGTTGGTAAGCCCATGGTCACTTTGCGCCAGAAGCTAACTTAATTCCCTAACAAAGCCAGAACTGATTGCTCCTAAGCCCACGATGCGCCACAATTCAGACATTTGTCGTAGGGGCTCAGGCATGCCCAGGTTGCCATGGCAACTGCTGCCAAGTCACGCAGTGGCCGAACATGATGGGATCTGAGACCTGGTTCGAGTTTTACCAGGCCTTACCTTGGACAAATTACATGGAGGTTGGAGAGATTTACAAAGGAACAGTAAGCATGGCATTCACAAATACGTGTCAAGGGCACGGTGCTCTAGGGGTATGGGGCATGTGGCTGAGCTCCTGGACTGCTTGTGGAAGCTGTATCAGCCATGATCAGGACACAAGCATTGCCGGTGCCAAGGCTTTCGATTGTTCGCTCCCAAAAGGCGACGCTGCATCAACTGCATCGCACCCATCCGGTCAAGCGAATTTGCGGGCTGGGTACCCAAACATGCTTGCCCAACGAGTCTGAAACCGTTGATGAGCAATTTTAGAGCCGTGCCTCCAAGTGCTAGCCAAAACCGAAAACCAAGAAAAGGCAGAGTCGTCACTTTGTGCAACAGTGGCGTTACAGTTAGTCGGCTAGTTAGTTCGTTAGTTAGTTAGATAGTTAGTTTGGTTGCTCTTTTGGTTGTTCGTGGGGTAGTTGGCTGCTTGGGTTGCTTGCTTGTGCCGACTAACAAACATGTGCACGTCTTTCTTTTAAGGGTAACCATTTTTGGATGGCTATAAAAGGAAACCACCCCAACAAATGGGTTGGATCACCTGTTTTGAGACCAACCCATATGCAACCCATATGCGACCCATGTGCGACCCGCCTTCATCATGGTGGCCTTGAGGTGCAGTGAGAAGAGCACCCCCTGCTCCTTGGCCTCCGCGATCTGTTCCTCGTAGAAGCGCCGCCTCGCCAGGCTTGGGTGCACCGGGGGCTGGCCCCCGCAGAGGAAATCGAGCGGGTTTGGGTTAAACCGGCTTTTGCGTGGTTGGCAGACAAGTTTGGAGTTCTTTGGCCAACCTGCCGTGCAACAAACAAACAAGTATTAAATTTACTTGGCCCCCTCAAGGGACACCAGGATGTTGTCTAAGCAGTGGTTTCAACATGAACAAGGGCCTTGGCCCAACCCTTGCAACACGACCTGCACGGGGTGGGCCAAACGACGGACACCTAAACTAGGAAATCTAAAATTAAGCGTATAAATCCAAGAAACCAGCATTATTGGCTAAGATTTGGCACATGTAATGTAGACATGCTACTGGCTTTCTGCGAACGAAAGGTGATCACCTCGGAGCGAGTGAACTAAGCCAACAACTTGGATCCAACTTCTGGGACTGCATGTTGGAGCGAAGCAAAGGCTAAACGAGCAAAACCACCAAAATAGTTACGGTGGTTTACCGTTCGAAACCTACTTGGGAAGACAAGCACATAGACCTCATTGAACACTTCGGAACTTACAGGTCCCTATCCCAAGAGAGAAGTAGGCTGTCAAAAGTGGTTTGTGCGCTTCCATGTTTCCTAATGGGAGTGCGACATAGGACCCGAAAAGTGTTTGCTTTTTTGGGGGAGGTCCTGTTTGATTGTGAAGGAGTACTCCGTGCTTTCGATTCTTGGTCCAGAGGGTAATTCCGGCTTCCTTGTTTTTACCATTGAGGTCACCCAAGTGGCAGGTAACCGAAAAAAGATCCCAATTACTGATTGAAAGGAATGATAACCAGATGGAGTAAAATGTGGATTCGCTTTGGACTAGCCAAGCGGCAGCATCTTGCAGTTCATGAAGGACGCATCCAGAACTTCGTCCTTCTGCAGCGCCAGCTTGTCCTTAATGTGGGAAACTGGGGAACCCAAGGACACTGCCATACTTCAAGAAATGGGATTCAACCCCTTCCCCCCCTGAGGCTTGAGGCAGGGCTTTGCGAGTAGGCCCCCAAAGGAACTCAGCTCCGCGGAACGCTGCATGATCATAGGTAACCTTTTGGACAAGTAGCTGGCCCTGGGATAAACTAAGCTAAACCAGTGCTATCTGTTTCTAACCAAACTAACCCACAAGGGACACTCAATGTACAAATGTCTCCCTACGCTGTCTATGAATCAGAGGACGTTTCACCCTTCCACCCTTTGCTAGCATAAATTAGCTGGTCATTTGGCCGATTTGCGCTCAACTGGACTTACCATGAAGTGGTTGCGCTTTTTTCACACCTCCGCCTTTGGTTTGCCTTTGCACCTTTCACCCCATTTCAGAGCTCCAGGGACCATCCCCAAACGGCCCGCCCCCCGGCCCTCAGAGCCCACCTTCAGGACGGTGACCTTGCCCTCCTCCGAGAGGTGCTCGATGCGCACCTCGCAGGGCTCCTTCAAAGTCACGGACTTCTCGTGGGAGTAGAAGTCCCCGTCCTGCCCAACTACCACAGCCGGCCGGGGAAAAACAAAAAAAACTTCATGGGTTTGGATGCCACAATGTGGGTGAGCTTTCCCGGTTTTCAAAGGGTGATTCCAAAAACTATGATCAGCTGCTGCGTCAGATTGCGCCCTCCCAAAGGGGAAAGGGTGGTGGGGGGGTGGTTGGGTGGTTGTTTGTTTTTTTTGGGGGGGGTGCCGAAGGCGCCTCCAAAGCTTGCTGGTTCTCGAAATGAACCCTTGGCATCCCTGTGAAAACTATATGGGATTGGTTGATTGATCTCCTCATTGCCTTAGAACTGGAAAGAAATCGGTCCAGTCCCTGCTGCTTTTTCCCTGGTCTGCACATTATCCTCCAAGAACCCGCCAGGCTCAGCCCCACGAGGCACACTTCCAACATCGACTCAAGACGCACATTCAAGACGCTTACTGGGTTGTTGCAGTGAATATGTTCCACCTGGCGAGGGGGTCATTTCTAAATGAACCCTGTTCCTTCCAAAGCACTACCCGAATAAGCATGGGCTGTCCTAAAGCAAGCTTAGCTTGTAGCTTGTGAATTGGATATTCACAATAACCGCCCAAGGTCCATCAACCGCAAACCCTCGCTTTAATTCCGTTGACAAGGTTTTGCCCGGACCCATAAAATAATTTTCCACATGCCAACATCGGGTTGGCCACTCCAAACCCCAGAGCCCCTTTTGAGGGAAGGGCTTCAGAGCAATCATCCGGTCCTCCATGGAGCTCACATGGGTCTTGGACTCCGGCAGCCATTTCCCCATGCTGTGGGGGTACTTGAAGGCGTACTCCTTGCAGTTGAACGCGAAGGCAAGTCGTCAGAACAGGTTTTAGAGCACATGAGCCAGGGTCAAACTATTCTCGCGTACCAGAAAGGATGTGGGAGAATGAGGGAGGCCGATGTGTTTTGCGGTGGGCGAAAAGTGATTCAAACCCACCCCATGCCCATCCCAAATGAGCCAGAGATGGCATGACAAACCGAGCGTGAAACTGGACCCAAAGGATACCCAACAGTTCCTTTCATGGATCTGTTTGTTTTGTCCTGTCTTTGTCTGGCCTTTCAAGCAGCGCAATGGTGTCCAGTGCTAGAATGATGTCCTGCGCCTACGAGCCGCAACCCACAAACACCGCCTCAACGCAGCTCAGATCTCTTCATACTTGTCCAGAAAGCACACTTCTAACATACGGCTGTGTCTTTTTGTTGAGTGTACTTTTTTGACGTTGAAGGGAAACCAAAAGAAAGCCACGCATATTGGCGGGTTCTATTTGGGTCAAACCCAGACTCCATAAAGGTAGCCGTACAGCTGCCAAGCAGCCAGCTGGCCAGCCAGAAAGACAACAGGGTTCCTTAAAGGATGCATCCAACGACCAGCTGCTCTACAAACATGGGCTGCCCGTTTTCGCACCCCCCGCTGAAAGTGACTAACTTTTAGTGGGTCAAATGGAAACTACCACTAAACACTAAAAGGCTAAAAAGCTACGGGGATGGCTGGGAGCCACCAAGAAACGGATCCTCTAAATCAGCTGGCCTGATTTTTTAACTGGCAATGCATCCTAGCGACCCTGGTCAACTTTTCCCAAACCAGCACGCACCTGCGACTACAATAAGAAACAATAACAAAGTGCACACAGAGATCCCAAGAGCAAAGGACTTACATGGAATTGTCTTCAATCGTTTTTAATCGTGAAGATCCACACTGTTCCGGCTCGCCATATAGTGTTGGCACTTGCACACAAAAACGGGCAATGAAAACCCATTTCGTTGGCTCCAACCAAACCTAAGAAACCCTCAAAAAGGCTGCACGTGCATCAGATTTGGTTTCATATTCAGCCAACCCTAAAATGCACAATCGACTTGGAGGAGACCTCATAAACAAATGGCACTTGAATCAGACAAAGCCGTCTCTTCAACAAGAGAAGGGCACCGCAAAAAGCACCTAAAAGCAGCTTCCCGCTAATTGGTGCTTTGGATTGGTGGGGTGGTGGTAAGGGGGTGGTTGTCCCATTTACCCTCAAAATCCGCAAGCCACCAATCCAAACCACCAACTAGGGGGTAAGGGAAACCCTCTCAAAAAAAAGAGCGATACGGCACCACCTTCAGCCGAGTCGGTTTTTCACTCTCCGCTCCCGGCTTCGCGTCGCTGTCCTTGACCGGCACCGCGGCTCGGCGGTCTGAGTTGCCCTCCCGAAGCACGGGGTTCACGGCAGAGCCAAGGGCCTTGGCGTAGCGGGCCTTGATCTCTTTCTCCTTGTCGTCCTTGGGGTCCTGGTCCTTGACATCTCAAGACACGAAGCACGAAGCACCGAAATGATGTCCACCAAAGGGCACGCCATTAAAGACCAGATTCTCCGTGCAGATCCACTTGAAGATTTGAAAGAAGGAATCCATAGGGGTTCTGGATCCATAGGCCATAGGGGTCCCACCTTGATATCCTGGTAGTGCTTGGGGTGCTTCTGATCCTAAGCGTTCCAAAGGGGCTTGTGCACTTCCCATGCTTGGGTGGACGGTATGATTGAGCCCGGCAAATCGTCAGGGGTCCTTGTAGCATCCAGCCCCGCCTCTTTGCCTTCAAAGGCCCAAGTCAACCTGCAAAACCCTTGTTGCCCCACCCAAAACCGACACCCCGCCGCAGATTTGTTGCAAAGCCCTTGCTCCTTTGGGAAAAGTCGCAGAGAGTGACATTGACCTTGCGTGTCCCTTGGCCCAACCCCCCAAGTACAGAAAAGACATCTCCAGTTTCTGTTTCATAGAGCCAACCTGAACATATAACGAAATTGTTTAAGCATGTTTGGGCCACTTTACATCTTGGCTTCCCAATGAAGGAAACCTTGCCCAAGCAACACGTGGGATGTCCAAGCAACATGCAACAAACTTCCCTTGAAAGGGGGATGATTGCTTAAACACATGGGCAAACATGGCAAACCATTTCACCACCCGAACATCATGGGCACAGAAAGCAAGCCATACGTCGCAACTCTCCTCCGGGTAGCTGGGGATCTGGTAGCCTTTGCCCTGCAGCTCGGCAATGCACTCCTTGAGCTGCGGGAGAGACGCGCTGACGTTGGGCAGCTTGATGATGTTGGCCTTGCCTGTGTCCAAAGGGATTTGGGACCCCCAACGAACGGGTAATTGTCCTTGAGCTGTCCCCTTAAACCAAAGTGAAACTGCTGTCCCAAAGCCAGTGACTTGTTCAATAGTTGGCTTTCCTCGGGCTTCCCGCAATCGAGCCCGCGACGGAAAGCAACAAGAAACAGATCCAAGGAAAGCAATACACCCTGGATATGGAACATCCCTTTTCATTTCATGTAGTGAAATACAAATACCAACACAACAACAGCTAAAATAAGGAAAGAACAGACTGGTCAGCGCCCAGATATGTTTGATAGCCACGGTCAAAAACTTGTGTCTGTCAAGGGCATGATTCCGTTGATGGAAATTATTGCAATTGCTTGTGCAATTTCCTCTCAGGGGTCCGTATTGCACTGACCCCAAATGAGCAGGTCTTTTGACCATAGCACAAAGAACTTCCTTGGGGGCACCCATGTTGCATGGAGGTATTCTCATATTTTCGGGGTGGGGGCGGGGGAAACAAGGGGAATCAAAGTGCTTCTTGGCAAGGCAGCCAATAGGAAACCATTTAGGAAACGCCTGAAACCCTGGCATGGCGACCCAGGGACATACGCCCTTGGTGGATTTTGGTGGAAGACACTCTCTGAAAATCCGACTGCAGGTCTGCGTCCTCTTGCCTTCAAGCCAGAGCCTTGACCAAGCAAAGGGCGTGCGCCGTCACGCAGAATTGACTCAGTTCATTGCCTAGGTCCTCCAGTAGAGAGGATAGAAAAAGGGTACGAACTTTTTCATTTTTGTCTATTTTAGTAGGGGGGGTCCTCCCCCAAAAAAGGGTAAAAGGGCACTACTGGGGGACCTAGTTGCTTGAGCTTTGGCTACAAAACTGAAGAAACCAGCAAAACAAATGACAACGAAAAACCGGGAAGGTGTTGCAAACTGAAATGCTTCCAGAACGTAAACCCCGATTTACCATGTACCAGTAAGCAAAGTTGGCTCGAGCATAATCCCACACAGACCAGAAAGGATCTTTCCGTTATCTAATTATGTTTCACACCTACCCAGTCCTACCCACGTGGGATTTCCCTGGAAGTTGCTGATTTCCTTTCGCACTACCGTCCAGCACCATCCAAAAGGCGGCTGTTCTTTCCGAATTTAGGCTTACCATTCCTGACTAGACTCCGGGAACCACACAAATCGAATGAATCCCCCGAAAATGTGTTTTTCTCGCTAAATGTGGAACCTGATTAGCATGGTCCAAATTGCCCTCCCTCTCGTGACCATAGACCTTGGCAGGGTACCTGGACACAAAACTTCTCTTGAAGGGACCCCTTGTCCGGTGCCATGGTAAGGCCCAAACAAGGAGTCTGCAAAGCAAACAGGGGGAGGGGTGGCCGCTGCTTGAAGCACAGTTTGCTTCGCTTCCATTTGGTTAAGACCCTTCAAAAATATAAATATATTTCCAGTAGTCATAAATCCCTTCTAAAACCAACAAGGGTTTCGAAAAAAAATGAAGCAAATGGAAGTTTGGGAAGGGGTTCTTGGATATTCTGACTCAAACCGCAGCCAAAACGCCGCTCTTTGCCAGCTCCCCGAGCTGCGACAAAATGTCCTCCTGGCAATGGGAACCCAATGGGCTGTGGGTCAAAAAGCGGACAGGTCCAGGCCCGGCATATGGCCACATGGCTGTGGGTCAAACATACTCAAAAATGGCTTGCCCTGGCAAATGGAAACATGGACGATTTAACCTGCGGTCCAATTCCTGGTGGTTTAATATTGACCCATACCCAATTGATGGGCCTGCACTCTGTTCCCATTGTGGAAAAAGGCCTCTTCTGCGATATTTGCTAAAATGCGCCATTGCCGTGACGAAAAGGCGATTTCTCACATTACCCAGGGGTCAAGGGAACCAATTGTTCTTCCATCTTTTGGTGGGCAAAGAACGCCAGCGGTACAACCCCCAAGGCTCCAAGCACCCTCTGATGTACTTCAGGAGCCAAGGGTGAAAGTACATCATGACCAGGCACTTGGGTTTGTCTCAAAGTAGAGGCACCCGGGAACCCGCAAATGGCTGGCTTCCCGTTGGTGTCCCTTTGAAATTGAAGTTTCTTTGGGGATGTTTCTTTGGCAGGCTCCTTGTCCACTTTCAAGCCACTTGGTACCGGTTCCTTGCATAACCCAAGGTAGGGGTCTTGCGGATGACTTTTGAACAGCCCAGAACAAGATTTGTGTTTTTCCGGGACCCTGTTCGACTCATGCCATCTGCATCCCAAGCGGAGCCTGAGGACATACCCCCAAGCAACATGCGTGTTCGGTGAGTGTGAGACTCCGAGACTCCTCACACAAAAAGGGGACAACTCCTAAGATACATGTCTTTTCCTTGCGTAACCCAAGGTAGGGGTCTCGCGGATAACCTTTTAACAGCCCAGGGAAGTTGTTTTTTTTTGGTCTGTTATTTTTTTCTTCGGGACCCCGGGAAGAGGTGAAACCGTGGGTCCTCCCTCTGGGCATCCGTAAGGTACTCCGGAAACTGCGAGAGCAAGCGGCCCGCCACGGAGATGTCCTGAGAGCCAGCCAGCAGCCAGTGTCATAAAAATTCCCTTCGGCTTCCCTTTCAAGCCACCTGAAAAGGGTGCGCTCCCAAGAAAACAGCACGGCCATAGATGGCTAACCAGTCCATGAAGTACATGTCCAAACCTACCTGATTTTGAACAGGGACGCTCCACCAAACTTCATATTTACAACTAAAATGGTCTTCCCAAAAAGTGTAAAGTTCAGGAACTCTGGAAGTGAGTAAGATTGAATACCCCCTATTCATCAACCAGGCCACTGATCCGGAGTTCCCAATCCTGCCAAAACCTACATGTCCTGCCATGTGCTTTGGGCGCCCAAAACCCTGAAGAGAACGAGGGGTTCTCCACATAACATGCAACCCGAATACACATCGGGTTTCTCTTGCCCCTTCCCCAGCTTTTGGCGTTCCACGTCAATCTGCCTTTTAAGAGGAGGGAAACCACAAGACAACTTCAACTTGACTGCAAGAGTAATGAAATACAGTTGTTTCTCAAAATTGGGACCTCTGCAGGTAGTTGCTGGCGGTTTATTCCCCTTTTGAACAGGGTTCCCTGGTTTGAGACACACCCATACAACTCGGCAAAGTTTTAGGCTGGCCATTTGCTTCCCCTTTTGAAGCCATCCCAAAAACGGGCTCCCTATGTTGAGACACACCGGGGAAAGTCTTAGCTTTCGCCCGCCTTCAGCTGCACCGGAATTTTGGCCTGCGCACAGAAGCCCTGCACGATGGGGTAGAAGGCATGAGTGGCCAACATCGGGGCCTCATCCGTGTAGGTGTACCTTGCCGGTTTCCACGCACACAGGGCCGTCTTTTGCCACCTTTTATGCAAAAAAATGGCGAGCCCCTTAAACAAATAATCCTTCACTACGAGGGGGTCGAACGATTCTCCAAAAAAAGTGGCAAACACATCTAGGGGACACTTCCACTTCCATTCTTTCCAGGGATCCTTCTTTCCAGAAAACCATCACCCCAGGGGAAACAGCGATCGGTTCTTGAGAAGAACGATGGTTGAAAAGAATGGGGAATGAATCCCTAGAACACACAGCCGTGATGGCAAATCCCCCAAATCTGTGAGCCCTGAAGTCATGGTTTCCACAACCATGGAAACTAAACACAGCCTTTGTTTGGCCATTCAATATGCTTGTCCGGCATTTTTCAAAGGGACCAAGCAAAGCAAAAAACCGGCTCAGTTTTGGAAAAACTGGGGAACCCACCCAAAACAAACAACAAAAGGAACAAGGGTGCCACTGAGCAAGCGACATGATGGCACCAGTGTCCGCGCTCATCTTGGCTGCGGAGAGTATGCCAGAACCAAAAGCGTAGGGCGGCTGTGGGAGCAGGCTGGTGAGCCCAAATGGCGGCACGTTAGCTGACGTGGCAAGCAGCAAATTGCAATGGCTTGATTCCCACGGCTGAGATGCATGCCCCTCAAATAAACCTCTCTATTCAGACTCGCTGACCTAGTTCAGCCCTGCGCTTTTGCAAGTTTCCGCATTTGCCCCCATCTAGCTAAAGAAAAGGGCCTACCAGCAGAACGACTCAATGATGCATATTTACAGCCCGCAGCATTTGCCAATGCAGGGTTTGCAAAGTGGAATCCAATTGGGCAGGGCACCGAAAAGCGGAATGGTATCTCCCGCTTTCCCGCTATTGTTCAACCATTTTTCTATGAAAATCCAGCCGCTTTCCGGTGCTTGGTGGCTTTCCAAAATAATCTAAATTCTATCTCCTTCCAAAACCTACAAGGAATTTCAAAGTAAAGGACCCACATCATGGTGAGCTGAATTTTCGGCACCGAACCCACTTCCCCTGGGCCCCTTGCTCCGCGCTCGCCTGCGGAGCGAAAGGGGATACGCGAATGCCACGCATTCGTGGGGCAATGGGAATTGGTGAGAGAAACCTGCATCGCTTTGCAGCAGGACAACTAACCCATGGTCGATCGACGTCCACATGATGGTTTCCCTAAGGTTTCTTAGGGTTCCTAGGGTGCCTTGATCCGTGGTGAAGGGTAGGATCTCCGGCCATAGGGGGGCAACCACGGAACAAGCATTCTTGGGGCTTCATCCATGGTGCGATATGGATTTTGGAGTTTGTCCATCAGGGTCGTTCAATATGTGGTCCCCGTGAAGCAAAGGGGGGGGTGGAGGGCTTTTGGAGCCTCCTACAAAACAATCCTAGAAGTTTTGGCACAATGCCAAGTTATCTTCCGCACTGGAAGGTTCAAATCATAAACCTACAATGTGCTGTTTGGTGGACATCATTTCCATGCGAATCTACCCTTTTGCCGATCATCATGGCAGCCGACCTGGGTCCTTTTCAAGAGGACACTAGTCTTCCAAAACCCTCCGGTGCTTTTCCAGGACAGTTATAAAAAGGAGGATGTCACCAAAAAGGGTATGTCCCCCAACCACTTGGGAGGATCTCTCTCCCCATCCACTTCCTCTCTTGGTTCTTCGCGGTTAGACAACCCCTTGCGCCCAGCCTTCCCGTTGCGGCCTCGGAGGCCGGATCAGAAGCTCTTAGAGGGATTCTTTGGTACAACCGGCGCGAAATCCGGGGATCTTTTGGTAGCGGCCCTAAAACCGCCCCAGCCAAAGGGCGGCCAGAAACCCTGGTAAGTGGGCCATTCTCAAATACATCCAAGGTGAAAGGCCGAACCCAGAGAGTACCATTTGGGTGGCCACACACTGGGCTTCACTCCAGCTGTGGTTCCACCTGTGCTTCCGGCCCATGCCTGGGGGGATAGTTCTCAAACCTGAGCTAATTTTAGCCCCAACCTTCGCTATCCTCAAATCCCGTTGGCGCGGGGCACGCCTGATCCACATGTCAACTTCGGAATGGCCCCGCTTAACATTGGTCAACTTTAGACAACCCTGCTCTGTTTGGAAGAGATGATGTTGTGGGCATCAACGAAGTCCTGGAAACGACAGCTCGTTGAGAAGGTCAACCAATCTGCCATGAGACAGTCCCGGTTGTCAACCTATCGCCTGCATCCCGTCAACATGGAGAAGATACCAACAGCAAGTTTGCATTGCTACCGTCCCTTTCAGGTTCACCAGCTCAATAGGTAACCAAGCAAACAATCCTTTAAGCCAAACCAGCCGGAACAAGTCAGGTTACCTTGATGTAGTGATTGGGATCCACCGGGCAGGACATCCTCTTGGACCATCCGAAGATTTTCAGTGGCGTGCCATACGTTTTCGCCGCATAGCCCGCTGGTCGCCGGTCGCCGTCGCTTGCCGTGCTCGAACCGCCGGGCTCAGCGTGGGCCGGGCGCCAGAGCAAGTCCTTGATGAGCTTCGGGCCTTCCTGCACGTGGCACGAGCGCGTGAATCCGGCGCCAAACCAACTGCAGTCGATGCGGGTGGAAAAGGAGTCCCTCAACAGGTTTGGTCGTGGCAGTGGGGAATTCTGTGACATCACAATCGACCATAATTCTCTTGTCACTGTGAAACGGTTCCTTGGTACCACAGAAAGAGTCCTTGGTATCACAGAAAGAGGCCTTGCTACTGCGAAACTTTACCGCAACAACATCTTCACCCTGAGCGTATAGGACCCACGGCTATTTCAGAGATTTCCCATAACGAAGTCACAGCCAACGGTCAAATGAGCCATAAACTAGGGGTTCATACCAAGGGGTCATATTTATGGATGTATAGTTTGGGATTCGGTCTATGACCGGATTTCTGCAAAAAGCTTAGCCGGGAACGGTCTTTGCAGCTGAAACTGCTCAGACCAATCTAAGCGGGGACAGGTTTTCTGCAAACCCATTTTCTTTTAGGCCTTTGTTGATGCTTCGAACTGCTAGCTCTGGTCAAGCCAAGGTTGGGAACCAAGAGTAGAACAAACATCACGCTCATAGCAAGACATATGTCGCCCCCCTGGACGATCTTTACCCCCTCCATGAGTGAATCTTTCTTCGAGGTCCCCCATCTCTCACTTGGGCTGACTGGGTCCACAACCAAGCGGACAGGTCTCCAGGCCCGGCATATGGCCCGGCATATCTGTGGGTCAAGAATAGGTACCCAAAATGAAACAACATGGGCCAAAACCTGGGGTCCACTTCCTGCTCTAATTTTGACCCGTACCCATCGGCTCCTGCCCGGGAACGCCGGGAACGCCGGCCAGCGAGGAACGAGCCGACCTCACAGCCGTACCGCGGCAGCGCCCAGCCCGCAGCGGGGGTCGTGCAAAGCCGTGACCTCCTGTCTGGCAACCAACACGAACCCCTTTTCGGGGTGGACCCCGACGCCATGTTTAGTGTCGCTTCCCAAACCAACCGACCAACAAGTGAAAAGCTACAAGACATCCTCCTACATCAATTGCCCTCAAAATGGTGGGGTTCCCAGCCCCACAAAAGCCTTTGTTAGAAGGCCTCGACATGCTCACTCTACGGGGCCCAGGCCAACCATGTGCTTGGCTGGGTTCAAAATGGGGGGATGGGTCCATAATCCTAATCCGTAACTTGTGGGAGGTCAAGCCAAAGATCTTGCGGCTTGACTTTTTGCCCTGCCTGCCACTCGCCGTCACACAGGCATTCCACCTCGGAGCATGTGAGGCCCACTTGCGCAGCCAACTTCATCCACCGTCTTGCGCTTATGCCAACTTAAGCCATGACCATGATAGCCAAAATTACTTAGCCTCTCACATGGCCATGAGTTTTTTGGAACCACCTCACAAATCGTCGGTGGACATGAATCCCCACCTAAGCGACGTCCACCAAAGAAGGCTCCCTATACCCGTACAATCTCTGGCCCATGTGGCGCGTCAACCTGGATGGACGCTAGGTCCAACACGCTACACATACCCTTCGCGCTAACGAAGGCACCTGGAGCGTACCAACAAGAAACCCATAAAGTCGGAAAAGAAACAGTATCTCCAGTGGGGTGGATGGCTTGAAGCCGTCTCTTCAGCTAGGTCCATATCAGCTCGGTCTATGGCCCCTCTGACTTTAGTGTCAGCTTGCCGCCAGTTGCTTTGGTCCCTGGGAAAAATGAGAACATATTTCCAGCAGTGATACATTCCCTTTAAAAGCAACAGTTGCTTAAACAACAAGCTGAAACGCAAATGAAAGTATATGCTCCATTTCTACATAACCTGGATGTTCTATAAGACCCATTTCTGCTAGGCCCAGGGGCGAAGTCTTTGTGAGAGAGGAAGCGTAAACACGTGGAGCCAAAACTTGCATGACTCTGAAGAATGAAACCCTTGGGGGTGATCCTGCTCACAGAACCCCGTTCAGAGGTGCAACTGTTCTCTGCCTCAAGGACTCAAGGACCTAGAAACCAATAGTTGTCCTTTGGGACCGCAACGCGACACAAAGGAATCCAAAAGGTGAAAAGGGTTGGCTTTGGACATCTCGCAAATATCATGGTAGGCCGCTAAGACTGAAAGCATGTTGTTATATCCCCAACCAAGCGCGGCACCCTCAACTCGCCCGGAAAAACAAACAAACTCCCAAATGTCCAGCTATGAGCCAAGTGGTTCGAACCAAACAGAAAAAGCACCCGCCTTCCACAACCCTACCCCAAAACGCCATCCTACACAATCCCTAAACCTCAACACTCTACTTCAATTGGCTTAATTACCTCGACAAACATGTCCACTAGTGATAAAACAAATCCCTTTAAAACCATCAAGGGGGGAAACAAAACAAACAACATATTCATTTCAGCAACTGGACGTCTTTTTCCACCTCGGACAAACCCACCGACACCAAAGCCCAACAGCCGGGGGCCTTGGCGGTGCAGCGCCCGCCGAAGGAGACGCCGCCCAAGACGTAGACCTGGCCTTCGTGTGAGATCGCCGCCAGCTCCCGGCGGATGGAGCGCATGGGACTGGCGAAGCGGCGAAAAGCGAGCGGGGCGATGGTTTGGATGGCCATCCATAAATATCATATGGTAATTTATAATCCCACAATTTATTTATTTCATTCCATGATGAATCTGTTTTACCAACTGACCAAAAATACTGTATGGGTCAAAAAAAACCGTACCCCCAGTGAACATCCCAATCCCCACTAAATAAAATGGGTGGTGCACCTGCCCCAAAATGGGATACCATTGCTTTCGACCCACAGCCATATGAGGCACGGTCGAAAGTCTAGGTCCTCCAGTAGAGAGGTTAGAATAAGGGTACCCGATTCTTTTCTGTAGTCAATTTTAGTAGGGGAACCCTCCCCAAAAAAAAGAAGTGAGAAAGGGCACAGCTGGAGGACCTAGAAGTACTTACTTGCGGCAGTATCGTTTCTTTTTTTTGAGTC